CCCGACACAATGTGGACAGGACCCACCCCCCCACCGCGGCGTGCAGGCCGGGAAGCGCTCAACCTCCACATAGTCGTGGGGAAGTTCGGACGAGCCCAGACCGAGGGAGAGTCTACAAAACCCCTGAGCAGGGCTCCTGAAAAGGCCCTGAGAAAAGTCTGAACGGAAGCGTGCGGGCTGGAAGACAGCACCGAGACCTGATAACGAAGCGCAGGCGGGGTGCTGCGCCGGCCCCTGGACCGGAGGAAGACTCAGCAGCAAAATGCCACCGAGGACTGAGAGTCATTTGCCAACTGCCTGGCCACAGAGACGGGGCTGTGGCTGCAGGAGAGGCTCACGAAGGGGCCGGGCGCAAGGCTGTGTGCACCCATCTCCCGGGGCTGCTCGTGCAGCTTGCCTGTAATTCTAAAATTATTTCAAACTTAACAGGTTTTTAAATATCTCTTTTTAATCCTCACCGGAGTGTGGTGGGGCTTCACCCACAGGGCCCCACCCCCGCCCCCGCCACAGCTGCCACAGATGAGAATAAGCCCACCCAGACATGATCTGCCTGGGGAGGAAAGGTGGCCCATCTCTCAGAGGAGAAGGGCCCAGAGTCTGTTCCTCAATGGGCTTTGACCGGGTTCGTTTCGCCCAGGAACACAGGTAAAGCTCATCAGTCATTGTCAGGCAGTAAGGATCAAACAATAAATAACATTCAAAGAACTCTGAGGGTTTATTCTGAGTCCGGGGTCTGCTAGTTAAAGGGCTACAAAACTTTGGGAAACTAACTCATTTCCTGCTCAGACCCTTATCATTTCATAGAGGACCTTCTTAGCAAACCAGGTTTCACATGAGTTTATGCATTCTTTCTTAGGCCTGATCGCCCAGGGAACCCACCCTTTCCAGCCCAGGGCTGCACCGCCCTCTGTCATTGTTTCAGGTTTAAGTCAGGCGGGGGAAGTGAGGCAGCCAAGAGATCAGGAGACTTCTCACAGACAGAATGAGGACTCAGGCTATGTCAAAGTCAAGGGACAAGAGTCTATCACCCCTTTTGCTATAGTCCCCCAAGTCCTTCCCTGGAGCCCCCCATGATCATGCCTGTCTTACGTCATCTCTCCCTTGAGGTATCTTACCCATAACTGGCTAACCAATCATGTATTGGGGGACAGGCAGGGTGAAGTAAAAGGGGAAGAGGCAGTGCCCCTGCCAGGGAGATAAACTGTCTCCGTGGTTTATACTCCCAAGGTCACTCACTCAGCCTTAGTCATAGGGGGTTACAGCTTTGGAAACCAGGCAGGGTGGTTCCCAACAACTGAGGCCATTTTTTCATTGTTTCTAGGGAGAGAGGAAGCAAGGGAGGGAGAGAAAGAAACATCAATTGGTTGCCTCTAGTACAAACCTTGACCGGGGATCAAATCCACAACCTAGGCATGTGCCCTGACCGAGAATCGAACCCGCAGCCTTTTGGCTATGGGACAATATTCCAACCAACTGAGTCACACCAGCCAGGGCCCAAGTAAAAAAGTTTTAAAAAATAATTTCAGATGAATGATAAACAGGTGTAAGATACCACTCAGTAACATGAAAATACACTTTCTCCTCCAGGACTTCTACTAAAAAAATCCCAGTAATTACAAACAAGGCTTAAACTGAAACAAACTGTAATTATTCAATAAAAATCTACAACTGAGATGATCAGAGAGCAGAGTGACTTCCGAGGGCACTGAAGTCTCTCCAGATCAGTAACCTACCTTACTGTCCCCCTTTCCCTATTTAATGGCACGTACCTGTGCAAGGGCCTCGTAAGATTCTGATGTATGAGAAAAGATAACATCAGTATACAAAATACAGAACTGTACCATGTAACGAGGCTGAAGACAGTTTTTCACTGCTATACGATCCAGCAACCATCTGGACGCCCTTCTCAGCATCAGCGTCGGTAAGACCAAGGACCCCTTCCATAGTGACATGCTTCTGACCTCCGGAATGATCTCCAGAAGTCATCCTCACAAAGGTCAAACTGACTCCGAGAAATACCCCACTTCTACCCCTTTTGTCATCGGAGCACTTTGGTGCTGGTGCATTCTGCCATTTGATGAAAACCTGATTCTCTGAGTACCGGGAAGAAGATGAGGCCGGCCTAACCCAGAGGTGTATTTACTCTCTTCTTACAAGAGGTCGAAGGCAACATCATGTAAGGCCACGTGTCTGCAAGTGTGGTCTCAGCCAGTAGCTTCAACAGAACCCAGGAACTGTCAGAAACGCAAATCCTCAGCCCCAGCCCAGAAGCCCCCCCGGTGACCCTGGCGCACCCTGTTTGAGAAGCACTCTCAAAAGAGCAGCAAGGCCAGCTGCAAGTCAGGGGACTGGGTTCTAATCCTGCCTCTGCCACTAATCCCTGGGATGGATTTGTCACTCAGCCTCGGTGGGGCGCAGCCTCACTGAAGAGGGGGCTGGAAAAAGTCAATGCCACAGCCCTTGCGCCCTAATTGGTGAGTCCTTCCGTGCACGCATTCCCACGAGGCCTACAATGAATCACCACACAGTTCTTTTATCACAGTGAAACTATTACAATTTCTTCATCCATGGGTCTTGGAGTCACACTATCTAAAATAATTTGTTATTTTAAAGAAAATGGTGTCTGTTTTAGTAAAAGGCTATATAAAACGCTAATCTAACAGTTTCCTACCCAGTGCTGTATCAAGTCTATTCTGGAGGAATTCATTCCACGTCACAGGTCACAGAAATTTGAAGAAACCCACCCACCACAGACTGCAGGGTCTCCCTCCAAATGCACACGTGGAGGGCCTGACCCGTGTGGTGGGGTCTGCAGGTGGGGCCTTTGGGAGGTGAGGAGGTTTAGATGAGATCTTGAGGCTGGCTCCAAAGGCCGGATCGGAACCCTTACAAGAGGAAGAAGACAGCCCAGAGCCCTCCTGTTCTCGGCCCTGTGAGCTGGAAGGCAGGCCCCTGCAGGCCAGGAAGAGCCCTGACCAGAAATCTGCACGTTGGTCTTGGACTCCTCTACCTCCCGAACCGTGAGAAAGAAACGCCTGTTTCTGCAGCCAGCCGGACAATGGTGTTTTCTTCCAGCAGCCCCAGGAGACGAAGATGCTCCCTCAAACGTCCCTCTGCTGCAGGCGCCCAGCCCAGACCCGAGTTCGGAATAGAGTTGCTGGCCTCACAGAATGAAAGTGTGTGGTGAGACCACAGAAAGGAGTGAACAAGTATGAAAATTAAGAATTTAAAAACATATGGATCTAGACATTTCCATCACTGCATAAGGACCACAGCTTCATTTAATCTCCTATTAATAGATTTAGAACCTGGGATTGTTCTCACAACCTGTGAAATGGCAGATGGGGGATCACATTAGAAGGGTGTTTTATACAGGTGAGGGGTCTCCTCTAATCAGGCCGACCTAACCAAATAGGTCTCCAGCAGGCTCTTGCCACCCCTTCCCCAGCAGCCAGACACACTGTCGTCTGTGTTCCAAAGTCTCGGGTCCAGCACTAATGTTGCTTATGTGTCTGTCTCCTCGCCAGACCTGGAAATCCGGGAGGACAGTGCATTCCTCTCCCCTGCACCTAGAAGGGCGCAAGCCTAAAGCAGGAGCCAATGTGTGTCGAAGTGGAGCCACTCTGCTGAGTACCAGTGACACTCTGCCCAACCTTGCAGCTGTTCTGTAAATCTTAAATCGTCTGTAAATGTTTTTATTTTTTAAAAGGCACCAGTAGCAACAACTAAGAGCAATAATCACAACTGTCTCACATGGCACACAAGAGGACATCAACTACTAGAGAGCCCTGCCTCAGTGGTTTTCAGATGTGCCAGTAGGATTTGTAACTTCTCTTGTAGCAAACTAGAAAAGGATGACACCTGAGACTTGAATCCTGACGTTAATTTTGGTCAAATTATTTGATCTCGTTCTCATTTAGTACAAAAGAGAACAGCAAACCCTCCAAGGCTGATGTGCTAACTAAAATACACAGTATGTATCCCATGAGCTCTCCTAATGGTGCTCTAACTCGCACACGTGAGTGCCCGTCCCTGTAGAGACAGCGTTCTGATGGGACAACGCCCCACCGTCGAGCACGTGCACAGCACACAGTAAGGGGACCAGCCGACAAGAGCGTCAAGTCACACTTCAATCACTGTTAAGGCTGTGATCACCTACAAAGCAGAAAAACCCACGTGTGTGTTTATGGACGTCCACCCACCAACATGTCCTATTCTAGAGCTCCCAATGGGATCAACGGGCTGTTCCAAGCTGCACGCAGCCGACAGGGGTCAGCCGCGCGGGCACCCGGCTCCCCTAGACTGCAGTCCAGAACGCAGCCGGCGCTCAGGACCAGTTGGCGGGAGGGGCTGCGGCGCGCGCCCGCAGGGACCAACAGCACCGCCGGGACACAGTCGCGCGGCAGCCCGCATTCCCCCTTCAGGCTGGGGGCGGCGAGCCCCGAGAGGCCGCGGCCCACCGAGCCTCCGTTGCGGAAGGAGACGTGGGTGGCGGCGGAACGGTGCGGAAGGCAGGGACACCGAGTGGGCGGCGGCTAAGGAAACCGACACCCAGACTGCGACAGACACTTGGGCGGCCCGGCGCTGGGGCGTGTTTGTGTCACTCTTGGAGCGACCGGGCGGTAAGAAGCGCCCAGACAGCGGGCAGGGGCGCGTGGGGCGCCGCCGCGGCGTTGACAGCCCGGCGCTGCCGGGAAACCGAATCCCCGCGGGTGCGCGCGGCCTGCGCCGAGCTGGCAAGGGAGGGCGGGCGCGCAGGCCGGCGGCGGCGGGGACCGGCGGGCGCGAAAGGGGCGAGTCTGGGCGGCGCCGGGAGGGACCGGCGAGCGGGGAGGGGAGGAGGCGGGGGGAAGGGGAGGAGGAAGAGCGAAGGGCCCTGGCGGGGCTCCCGGCGTCCAGCCGCGGGCGCCCCGGCCCTCAAGCCACCGCCCCCAGGCCCCGCGCTGACGCTGGACGGTCCCCGCCTCCAAACCCCCCGCCCCGGCCAGACAGTAACTTACCTGTTTGCCGACAGGATCGCCCCTGCTTGCCCCTACGACTGACTCCTCCGGCTCACCGTCTTCCCTCTGGGAGGAAGGGGCGGGATTTCCTGTCTTTCCTTTGCGCTACTTCCGGCAGCTCCCTGGTTCTCTCCGTTGTGGACTGCTCGCAAGACACTAAAACCAAAAGCACAGGATCTCGGGACTGGTTTAGTTAAACGCACCTCAAGTTCCCTTTTATTTTTCCCCTAATGGCCAGAGGGCCAGGGTGCCGTATTGTTTTCGGTACATAAGCTCTTGCCGGAAGTCCCTCGGACACGAAGCCGGAAGTCCCACCCCTCCCCGAGAGGAAAACGGAAGGCCGAGGGAATCAATTTAAAGAAGGGAGAAAAGGCTTCAGGCTTCAAGGCTGGCGGTGTCCGACCCGGCAGGGCTATCGTTGGTTTACAGAGGGTCCCCGAGCGAGTTCCTCCCCGGTCTCCCACCGTCGCTGCCCGTCCCTTATCACTCCATCCTTTCGCCCGCCCTCCATAGAGAATCCCGAGGGCAATGCGGGAGAAGCGGACACGCTCTCGGGGAGCGAGGGGCACAGGGGCCTGCGGGGTACCCGGCCGCTGCCCTTTGCGTGGACGCGGCCCGAGGGATGCCGGCGCTTCTGGGGCCCTAACATGTACAGGATGGAGATCTTTCTGCTGAGCCAGGCGCGTGCGCACCTCCAGCTTAGGAATAATCTCTCCCGTGACAGCAAATGGGGATCCTTGCAGTCACAGTCCGAAGGGACCCACGAGCCGAGTTCTGAGGCAAAGGAGTTCAATGGGTTGTTCAGTTGGGCAGTAAAAGCTGAAAACGCCGTGGGTGTTTAAAATGTTCCTGCGTGGACTGTTCGTGAATGTTAACGGCGCAGGGTAGATGGGAGGAAGGAAAGGCGGCCCTGGGCGCCATGTGCCGCACACCGGGGGCCTCGGGGCCGAGCCTGGGCTTTGGAAACCCAGACCCAGCTCTGAAGAGGGCCGCGGTGTCCCACCGGGAGTCCGAACCTTGTAGGCTTAGGGGCCCCTGTTATCAGAACTGTATTTAGGAAGATAAAAGTAAATGGGAAATAATAGCCTTATAATGGTAAGGATAGGCTTCCTACCTAAACCAGCTCGCATGGCCAATTTCAGCTCAGGGCTGTTTAAATCCGAACAGTGAGCATGGGGAACTCCTTGCAGACCTTATCGGACTGAATTTTCACTGATCCCTGAACGCATTCCCGGCTCTTCCACGGTAGGAAGTGCAACTCAGAAGCATCCCCCACCCCAAGATTACTCAACTAGAGAAAGTGGGGCTTGGCTCAGTATCCACGGCCTTTCCCGCTCTACCAGCTGGCGCAGTGGGCCTTAAAGGTGGAGCGAAGCGTGGGGAGCAGGCTTCTCCAACGGCCAACCAGCTCGTCAATGCATTTATTTCATTAACCAACTTTTACTGGGTGCCTACTGAATGAAAGGAGATACCGTCTTCAGAGTTCTGTTGAAAAGTGCTTAAAATTTACTTGAAAATGTAGTGTTTGTTCATACAATCTTTTGATATTTACTTGGGCAGTGTTTTTCTTCCCTGCCTAGGGGACACAGTTCTCCCTAGGGATGAGGTGTTCTGTGGGACTTCCGGTGATGCGTCTTACCACCCCTCCACCTTGGGGGTTTGGTTAACAATTCCATCTTTGAGCAGTGAAATAAGATCGGAGTTTATTTTTCAGTCCATCACCCATTATTTTGCTGAGACAGGGCCACTTACATCAAAAGGTGACCTTAAGGAAGTTGATTGAACTTCATTCTCCTCATGTGTAAAGTTAGTTCATTTAAGGTGACCTTCCCTTCTTTTGAAACGGTATTAGAGAAGAGGTTCAGCAATGTGTGAATTGGCCTTGGTCAGATGCTCAGTGGTCCTGAGGGTCACCAGATCCTCCGAGGTTGGGGGTTCCGTCCACGGTCATGGCACACACAGGAAACAACCAATGAATGAACAAGAAAGTGGAGCAGCAAATCGATGTCTCTATAAAATCAATAAAAATAATAAACTTTCCAAATCCTAGTAATGATGTGGGAAGCTTTGGGAAACCTTTGTTCACCCAAACCCCAGGCTCCCTGGGAGAGCGATAAGGCCGTCTGGGAAAAGCAAACAGCAGGATAGTCACTAGGACTGGGGCTAGCACTCCCACAGATAGAATTAATTTTCACATTTAGCCTTTGTACTCTGCTTCTGCCCCGTAGATAGAACTAATTACCACATTCCGCTTCTGTATCCCGCTTTGCTATGTAGATAGGAAGACCCCGTAGACTATATAAACCCCAGGAATCCTTTGTTTGGGGCTCAGAATTTCGAGACTCCTCTGGGCCCGTGCACGTTAATAAACCTCGTACTCCAGAATCCCTCGGTGTCTGGTTGCTTCATCTTCCTGTAACAGTAATAGGGTCTAATAGGAAGGACTTTGTTCCACTAGATAATACTAATAATAACTCTTGTTTATTAAGCACCTAATATATTTCATGCATTGCTGTAGAAAAACCCAAGAATATAGGGAAATTTTGATAATGTTCTGTATCTTACTAGGGAAATTTATATACACAGTGTCTGGCAAGAATAACACCTTTTTTTTTTATTACAAAATTGTAAGCATGTGATTCTGTAACCTAACAACATCACACTCAAGCACACCATCTGACATTTTAGGTGAAGTGTTCAAGTGAAAACTATAAGTGATCACACCCATATTATTACCCTACCAACCACAGTCAAGCAGGCCTTCTGCTGGACCCTGTATATAAATACATGTACATATAAAAAAAACCAGAGTTATTAATTTTTAAAGCTTTATAAAATTAATATATTTATATTACATACAGTTCTACATACATAAAGCACTGGGGCTTTTTAAAAGTTGTCCCCACACCTCTGTAGCCACAGGACAAGCATTTTCCATTTATTTTCACAGGGTGGCTGTAGAGCAGGAGCAGTCCAGCGCCTCTCTAACTCTCATCTGCATTTGAAGGGGTGGAGGGAGGCCCCACGGGTGGGGCGCCAGGCGAAGTCTTTGGAGGGAGGTGGCAGACCAGCCACGTGCCAGGTGTTTGTGCGAAACCAATGAGCCCGTGGGGTGGCCAGCTCCGTAGTTTTATTCCTTCCAGTGACTGGACAGAGCTGAGGGACCCCCTGCCACTTCCTCTGAGGTGCAGCTCCACCCACCCCCCACCACCTTCCAACTGCACTCTCTGCTTTGGCCGATGTTCTTCCAGCTGCAGACAAGTTTTCCTAAAGCACTTGTCATCCTCACAGCTGTGGCTGGTGCGTCCCCCCTACCACCTCTGCTCTGGGAGGGCAGAAGTTTTATCTGGCAATACAAATCACTCGCTGTGTTCCAGTTTTACATGTGGTGATCTGTCTTCATAAACGTCTCCACAGCACTCGAACCCGAGCTGGAGCCCTTACCAAGTGTGTGGGGGGGGCGCCCCCTGACCTGAGGATTACCCTCAAACCCTTCTGCCACAGGATAAGAAGGTCCAGGCTGTCATTCTTTCTTTAACCTGAAGAAAGTTGCAGAATTTTGACACTCAGACATGGTCAGTGCAAGTGTGTGCATTTATCGGGGTGAGGTCACGGTGTGCAGCACCCTCCCCACTTCTTTTTGGGCAGGTGCCCTGCTGTGGGCAGTTCCGGGGCAGGAGACAGAAGTGGCCAATGAGCAGGTAACGCTTATGTTCGGACCAGGGAACCATGTGGAATTTTAAGGGAAGAGGAGGACAGCTGCACGTGATTGGTGGAAGAGACGGTTTAACCCATTCGAATAGTCATGTTTATCCTGACACTTCTACCCTAAAAAATGAAAGTGTACATCAGCATGATGAAGAACTCAAATTTCCTAATACAATCGATAGGTTCCTGCCTTCATCATGTTCAGTTCTAAACTGCTGGTCTTTAACAAAAGTAAATACAGGATCGAACAGTCGTCACTGTTCACTCATCAGAGAGCAGCTCGGTTCTGTCACAATAGTACCATCTCTCCCACGGGGAGCTTCCATTGGTCTGACTAAGGACAGTTTTCTGATTCTGAGGGCAAAATTCAGCGAAGGGTTCCTCTGATCCGCATCCGATGGGAAAGGTGTGCAGATGCCTGGTGAAGGCCCGGGACTGTCGGTGTGATGGGCAGGCCGTCTGGCCTCAGGCAAAGCCCGCCCCGGGAACACTCCACTCCCAACAGCCAGGAAAAAGCCCTCCTGCTGTTGGTCAGGTTTTCTTGTACCTGTATGGAGAAGCCACGTATACGCTACCGAAGGGTTACCACCAAATCTACCGCTGTCGCAGTCTACGTGTATGATAAAAGAAAAAGAGCAAAAGCTTTCAGACTTCGTAAGTAAAGATACCTATACTCACAATCGGTCCGAAGGATGTGGGTCATGTTGTAGGCAACAGATGGGTCGATACACGCTCTCGGAGACGAAAATTGGTTTCAAAGAATTTTAGTTTTATTAATCACAAAATAATGGTCCAAATGTGAATTTAGTGGCCAAGCTTTACCTGCGCAGGGGCGAACGTCCCGGAGCTACGTAGCTACCCAGAGCTACCAGATGGAAGTCGCACGTGGCTTACAAACTACGGGGTTTTTATAGGGCAGAGCAAGCAAACGCGGGCTTACAGAAGCAGATGTGGCGGTTAGCTATTAGCTAGGTTGCTAATTTGAAAACGGCGAAGGTCCCAAATTGGTGGGTGCGGCTGCTGGTTGGCCTCTTCTGGCGGGCCCTGGTTAGTTACCTTATTTGGCTAGAATTTTGAACCCAACTGTTCCTGGATGTTTATTTATTACCCAGTCTCAGGAACTGCAGATGCCTAACGGCTGTCTGTATGTTTCCACTACTAATGGCCATTACAGGTCATTGCCAAGCTGATTAAAAATATGTATACTCCCATATTTAAGGAAATAAAGCAATCAGTAGATTTACATGTTTTCCTAGCTATTTGTCATCTTTTCCATTAGATAATGAATAATAAACACTTTTGTAATAGCGGGTTGGAAAAATAAAAGGAAAATGTACGATGGAGATATACTGACTCCATACCTACCAGGCACTGTGCTAAAATCTCAGACACCTTCTCTCATCCAACCCGATAACCTCTCTAAATGGGGTGTCATTTTCATTTCACAGGTAAGAGAGGATGCCATGTTCTCTGGTTCAGTCCCTGCTGGGTAACAGTGGGGACTGTGCCCCCTCCGCCGTCCAAACTCACTCTCACACAGAGACCCCCCTTCCACCCAGGGCCCATGGCCGGGGCTCAGTCCCAGCAGAATCTCCTTCGGAGAGGCTGATGTCCCCATCCTTCCTGCTCTTGAAGGCCAATAACACACATGCGACTCCTCTGGATGTTCTACACGGTTCACTGAAGTTCCTTTTTGTTTCTTTTCATTCTTTTTCCCCCTCTCAGACCTGCAGGTCAGATCGTTTCGGTTGGCCTATTGGAGATGTTCCCTGAGTCCTCTGTCTCCTCGGTCATCCGTCAAAAGCAGCTAGTGATTATTTCCTTATTCCTCTCTGGTTAAGCTACATTTTCTCTGGATTATGAGTCCTGTGCTCCTCTTCCTGAAACGTCAAGTAATTTTGATTTGCATCCTAGACATGTGAGTGCCAGGATGTGGTGATTCTGGATTCAGCCACGTTCCCCTAGTGAGTCCGGCTGGCGTGGGTCTGGTTTGAGCAGACGGTTCTCGGGGCTGTACTCCCGCCGCCTCCCACGTGGGCTGATGTCCACCCCCCACGTGGTGGTCTGGAGGCAGCAGCTGCAGGATTTGGCTGTCCCCCCGTGACCTCCGGAAGCTCCGCGCCCTGACTCTGTGCTCACGCAGTAGGCCCGCGCTCTGCCGTTGGTTCTTCACGGGCGGTTTGCAAGTTTCAATAGCCTCCTTTTTTCAGTCATAATCATGTAAAACTTAAAAGGGACCATGGGTCACTTTGGGTGACTAATTTTTGATGACTAATTTGCTTTAACAGCGTCCTTTAATAAAGTTCTGATGTCCTTTAAATTGGAACTTTCTGTCACTGCAAATGCCTACCTACGGCGACAGTGTGCCACCAACACTGAACCACCCACACTAGAATTTCAAATCTCAGTTCTTTGTGAACGCCTTTTGGTGACTTTCCCATGTGGGAGGTGAAATGATTTAAAACTTTGTATTTTCTGTTACAGTCAAAGGCATAATTTCTATGACATCTCTTCTTATTCTGAAGAAGAAATCACCCTCGAATGGAGCTTTTAAATATAATTTTTCCACATAATGACATCTTGTTCTCTGCAATCTACCCAAATTTCAAAGGCTCAGAGCGTTTATTTACTCACCGTAACAGTTAGGAAATGACAGTCCCGGCCCTGCCCTCCGCCCTCTCCACGTCATGCTGGGGGTGGGGAGCTGGGGGTGGGGCGAGGGAGCTCCGTGCTGCAGAAACCCTACGTTTCTGTTTTCCTGCTCCATCAGTTGGCTTGAGCAAAGCCCAGACTGCGCCCCCAGGCAGCCCCGCCTGCCTCCCGGAGAGGGAGGTTCCCTTCTGCACAGGGAGGAGGAGGGTCCTTTCTCACCTGCTCAGTGCTGCACAGAGCGAGCGCATAGATGCTCCGGGGCTCCTCCTGGAGGCGCGAAGGCAAAGGGCCGTCCGCGTCCTTGGTTCCACCTTCACTGCCGGTCACGAGGGGCAGTGCAGACGACTCTGACCGCAGGTGCGCTGCCACACAAACAAATACCTCATTCCATCCGGTATCATCAAGACTCCAAGTCGTTATTTAATTTTTTAGCCATCATAGGTACAGTTAGTATTCACATGCATTGAAAAATAGCATTAAAAATCATAGCTAGATGACACTGAATACATTTAAGACTTGATATTTGAAATAGTGTATCATCATTCTAGCCGGGTGGCTCAGTTGGTTGGAGCGTCGTCCCTGTACACCAAAACGGTCACAGGTTCAAACCCCGGGCAGGGCACAAACCTACACTGCAGGTTGATCCCCAGGCAGGGCGCATAGGGGAGGCAACCGATCAATGTTTCTCTGTCACATCGATGTCTCTCGCCCTCTTTCTGCCTTTAAAAGTCAAGAAACGTGTCTTTGGGTGAGGATTACAAAAAAAATACTATTGTAGTAAATGGTACAACAGAACTGTGGAGACTGATGGTGAGCAGGGACACCTGACTCACTCAAGGGAACCGGAAAAGGCTTCCCTGAAAAAGCACAACTAAGCGGAGATCTGAGGACTAACAGGGAGCCCAGGCTGGTGAGCGCGGGCCGGGCCGGGAGGGACAGGAGAAGGCTCCAGGGCAGACTAGCTTTGGGTTTGAGAGACAGAGGATTGGAAGGGTGGGACTGCCGGGCTGTAAGGAGTGAGGCTGGGCGAGGCCAGGGGAGAAAGCAGAGAGCAGAGTGGGCCATTCCTTAGACCCTTGTGATAGGGACCTCGCCCTGTGCCCAGCAGGCCACTCCAGGGCTTCAAGCAGGGTGACGGGGACACTGGAGCTGTCTGCCGGGTAAGCAAAGAGGTTAGGTCGGGGCTTTTGCAACGACCCACCAGAGGGGAGAGGGTTTGGCTTGCAGGCTCTGGGAGGTGACAGAATGGAAGAACATGGTGGCTTTTGAGCAATGGACTTGACAGCCCTTGATACTGAATTGGATTTGAAAGAGGAAAGTGTCCCACAAGACCCAGGATTCCAAAGGTCCATTTACCAAGGCAAGGAACCCCTGGGGGGGGGGGAGCATGGTGGGGGGTGGGGACAGGTCTGGGAGCACGGAGGAAAGTTCCTGTTTGGGAAGAGCCGGGTTTAGATATGAAATACTAGAAGGACTGGGGGCTGGTTGTCCGAAGGGGGCTGGCGGGGCAGTGCGGCCTCTGGCAGACACAAGGCGGGGGGAGGTTTGCACCAGAACGAGCCGTGGAGCGAGGAGGGGCCGGGAGCAGGTCCTCTGTGCGTCCCCGGTCCCCCTGCTGCCCTCGGGCTGCCCGTGCCAACGGCATGTGTCTCTGACAGCCCTGCACCCCGTGCACACTCGCCGGGGTTCCTGGCCAGCACACTTCATTTTATGAAGACGGCACGAAGCCAAAACACCCCCAGTCCTCCATGCTTTTGTGACCCTGTCACCAAATCCAGCCGAGCACCCCAACCTGAGCCCCACGCGTGCCCCGCCCCACACGCTGCAGCTCCCTCCGACCAGGCTGTCCCCACGCACGCCCAGGTGCATGGGTGGTCATTTCTATCCATGTGCGTGTATTTTTTCCATTAAACTCTTAAAACAAATGTATATTTCTCTCTCCTCAACCTCTCTGTCTTCTCACAACTGATAAGTTGGTCTCCTGGCCAGCGACTGGGTGGGTTTCTCTCACCTGAGCAGACCTGCCTGGAAGGTGCCCGTGTCTGGCACATCACGACCCCGGCAGCTTGAGGGCTGGAAGCCGGGCAGATAATCCTGGGCTACCTGAGAGCTGGCGACGGCAGGCAGCAAGCACGAGCCCTGGACTCTCTCAGGCATCCCTGGGCGGGAACCTTGCAGATCCAATGACCTAATTCATCTGCATAAACAACCAAGACACTGCAGGCCTTGGGTCAGCGGGAGTGAAGGCCAGAGGACTTCGCACTAGTCGGCGATGGGTCGAGCTAGTTGCACTAGCCAGTGACTAGTCACTGGGTCGTCCCAGCGACTGGGAGGGACATCCCACCAGGGGTCACAGTGTATTTTACCCCCAGCTTCTGTTCCCTGATTTATCTGAATGCCCTTTTAAAAGCATGCATTCCCATCACAGAGCTCTGGCACAGTGAGGCCTTGGGAACTCTGCCAAACGTGTCAGGCAGGTCCCATGGAATCCAGAACGTCACACGATTCAGTGCGATCCGCAGAGCACAGGCTGAACAGCGGAGAATGTCAAACACCTGCCCACACTCAACCGCCAGGACTTGATGCCCTCCGGTCAGAGAAGTGGGTCCTCTGTGTGTGCCCACCAGGCTGGGCTTTCGGGGGGCCCCTCTCCGGGAGGACCCCTCTCAGGGAGCAGAGTCGGGGTGAGCTGACAGAGAGCTGGGATGAGTTATGCTTTGTTTTTATTGGCAATCACAAGAGAAACATTTTTAATAAACCCTTAAATTCCTTCCCATTAATGTGATTTAGATAACGAATTCATAAAGACTGATTTGTTTACATCCACTCAACCTTAGAAAAATTACATTCATATTTGTTTGTTTGTTTACACCATCAAAGCCAATCAAGCCAAACAAGATGGGGAACTAAAATGATTAATGAACGCTCACCAGCTGATGGCTTTAAATAGAGACGGTGCTACTGATGTCAGGGTTGATTAGTTCTGTCTCTCGCTGATGCTATTAAAAGCTTTGAGCAATTGAGATGAAGCCATTGAGTCAGATTCTGGTGCGCTAAGCGAACTTGTACCGGGGGTGACTCTGCTGTGGGGGACTCACACCTGCACAGACGTTTTGGGGAATGGGGGCGAGCGAGCGTGGGCCTTCAGTGGTGGAGAGGAAGGAAGGAGAGCAACCCGGAGGGGTGGTCGGGTGGCATCCATCCCAACTCGGGTCAAGAGGCTTCGTGTGAAATATGCTCCTCTCACCCAACGAATCCCAAATGGTCTGAGGATGCGGATATTGATCGTTCCTGGCTCAGAACTTCCTAGAACAGGAGCAACCAAATGAAAGAGAAGCCAGCTAACACGGTCTCAGGTTTTAGCGGCCCCTCTAAAGGCGCCCCCACAGGGAAACCATGGTGGTCAGTGGTGGCGGCTGGTGTTTTCGTTTTCAAGATGAGAGGAGGGGGTGGTACAAGCGAGGGCGGGGCGAGCAGGGACCGCCCCTGGATGGAGTGAGTGTGTGCCGTGTGTCCGGAATGCGAGCCATGGTGACCAGGCCAGTTGTTGCGAGGGGAGAGTCCGGTCAAAGAACTGCCCCGGAGCTGGAAGGGCAGACCAAGTTCGTCCTGGGCTGCTGCGGCTGAACTTGGGGAGATCAAGCTGGTGAAGGCAGCTGTGACTTTAGAAAGATGCACAACAGGGACATTAAACCATTCCCAATGACTGCGCCTTTAAGATATTATAGTATTGGTCCAAACGTCCAAAGGTATGTAAATGGAAGGGGAAATGCTATTTGCTGGACCAGAATGTTCTGGGTATTTCTATTCCACTCCTGTCCAGGTCGTGGGAGGGGGGATCTGCCCGTCGGCCAGAGCTAAGCTGGACAGTCCCCTCACTGTCTGTGCAATTGAGCCACCTCCAGGAGGAAGACAGCAAATAATTTGGACCCCTCTATGTAGTTCCACCTAATGGAAGAAGTAAAGAGAAACGCAGTTATTTCCATTCACATGATGGAGGAAAACTAGTCTACGGCTGACACAGGGAGATGTGAGGATGTAAGTTTAATCTGAAGTAGGCCTATGCGGAGCCCGGGGTGGGGGCAGTGGGGGTTCAGCCCCGGGGGACCCCACCTGTTGATTTTCTCGTTCTGAGAGTGCTCGCCGTCGTCAACGGCGCCGAGCGGGAGCATCAGCACCCTCTTCTGGAGAATGTCCTGGAACATCTGCGCGACCGGTACAGTCGACCCGTCCCGGATCATATCTGGCTCCGTGCCGAACACTGAAACCCGAGAGAAAGGCGTCTGGCGAGCGGAAGGACAAGGCCACACTGCGCTCGGTGCCAGGAGCACGGTCCTCGCTGGCCTGCAGTTTGTGTTCTGAAGTGGACAGTAGTGTCCAGAGGAAACGGCCGTTGCCTTCTTTACAACTGTCTACTTCTAAACAATTTTTCTTAAATAAAGTGTTTGTTTTGAACTAATTTCAGACTTACAGAAAAGTTGCAAAAAGAGTAGAGTTCCCACGTACCCCTCACTCCGCTTCCCTAGTGTTAACATTTTCCGTGACTGTTGAACAAGGACCACGAGTAGGACATTAAACTTGAAGAAACAGTACTGCCTGGACTCTGACCTTGTATGAACTTCATGACTCCTTCCCTTTCTGAGAATCCTGCACTGCGGTTTGCATGGCCCCTCAGCCTCCCCCAGTCTGTGCCAGCTTTCCAGTCCCTCCCCATCTTTCACGACCTTTGACCCTCTTGAGTACTGGTCGGTTACTTTGCAAAATGTTCCTCCATTTGGGTTTGTCTGTTTTCTCATAACTGGAAGAGGTCGTGCATTTTTGGCAACACCCCAGATGATGCACCGACTTTGAGGGCTGTGTCATGAATTAAATATTAGCAAAGTGGGAATGAGATGCTTTTGGTTTTTGTAACAAATACGTAAATAAATAGCTACTGTCGACGATCTCCTGAGTGTCTCGGTGCGTGCGTTCGGATTTCAGTGCACCCCGCGAGCAGCTCAATGGACATCCTTGGGTCCAGAAAGAGGCGTCTTCCACCCTCCTGGGCTGGAGGACCAGTCGCCAGTTGGGGGTGGGGCGGAGGGAAAACCAGACCAGGACGGGAAAGGGCACCCGCTGCTCAGTCTCCACCCACAGAGCAGGGCCTGCATGTCCACGTGCCCGCGGTTTGTCGCACAGACAGACACGAGGCTGTCCTACGCTCCTACAGGAGCATTCTGGCCTCTCTTGCCGACCTGGACGTTTCGGTCCCACACCACCTCTCAGCGGGCAGCCCAGTGGCCTCCTCACGGCTCCTCCTCTTTTCTTCCACCCCACGTCCCACTGGCGAAATGCCGCCGCACTGCGGGGCCATGCGGGTGGCGGCCCAGAGGGTTGCTCCCAGACTTGGGCTCGTCCTCCAATGTCTCACGTGTGCCCCTCAGACAGAGAACCCCCACAGAGGCTGAGTCCTCCCTGGGGTCTGGACCTCAGATCCCAGCCCTGCCGGCCCCGGGCTGTGGCCTGTGGCCAAATCTCTAACGCAGGAGCCTTTCCTTACCCGCGGTTTCAGTTCCCATGGGTTCAGTTCCCCGTGGCCAACCACGGTCTGAAGACACTAACGGGAAAACTCCAGAAATGAACAGTACCTGCCCCTTCAGCTCACGCCATTGAGCCACAGAGACGTTCATCATCACCCACCTCACAGCAGGGGTGATGCAGCGTGCAGTGTCGGGAAGCGGGAGAACACACCGTGAGGGTGTGTAAGGAGCCCCGCTCAGGCCACACTTGGCAAGGCAGCCGACACCCAAGTCCTAATGTGTCTGCTCCACCTCCTGCCCCCGCCCTGGGGAGCCAGCTCTCCGTCCCCAACTCGAGATACCCTAAGTCCCACCTGTTTTGATGGCTCTTTTTGCTGCCAGGTAGTGACTGTCCTTCATGTCTGCTATCCACGGGCGCAGCCCCAGCACCATGGAAACAGCCATCTGGTTGGAACTATTTCTTTCGGAGAAGATGCGCTGGAGATACTGCTTCACCTGAAAGGTGGCAATTTCAACTGTCAGAAAACATTTTGAATCACTTCCCAGCCAATGACCACAGTTTCCCACCGCGGAGCATGGAGCACGGAAGCCGCAACAACAGATCCAAGGGTCGGGATGCGGTTCTGCCAGAGGCTCCAGGGCGGAGCTTCACACTGTGGGACAAACACACTGTCACCTCCCCTCCTTCACTGGCTCCACCCCTACCACCGACCACAGTGTCCAACTGTTGATGCTTACTGGTTAGGGATTTCGGCAGCCGTGAAACTTAAATGACTTCACGGATAGCATGACTCATGCAGCTCGCATGAATGTTGAGGGGCTATGAACCCTAACACGAGTGCAGCTTCTCACTGAGAACACCCCCATCTTCAGGTGTACCGGCCCTTCGGGGTGTTGCGGGAGCAGCCCCACGCCAGGCTGGGAAGGGGCCTCATCAGGGGCCTCGTCGGCGGCCTCCCTCCCTTTGCCCCTGGCTCTGGCCCCCCTGCCGCTATAAAAGCCACCCCACCCCCACCCGCAGAAGAACTCCAGACTCTGAGATGTTTATTCCGTTCTTTCCTTCTACAAACCTCTGCGCAACACCTGTCCTGCCCTGTGCAACACCTGTCCTGTGCAATACCTGTCCTATGCAACACCTGTGGCAAGAAGAGTTCCAGGTCTGGTTGCGGGGGGGTCAGCCGTGAGCACGGGGCCGAGGCCCCGCCCTCAGGGACTGCACGTGGAGAGAGAGGGGAGGACGGGACGTGGGGAAGGGGGGTATCTCAGAATGTGATCGCGGCTTCAAAGGCGGTGGCAGGGCAGAGGGGCCGAGAGGGTTGGGCCTGGGTGGTGTCTTCAGCTCATTCACCCAGAGTCTCCTCTGCGTTAACCTTGGGGCAGCCTGGCGATGACAGGCGGGGGATTTGGATGTTTAACTCCTCCCGACAACACTTTCACTGATGGCTCCTCCTTGTTCGCTTTGGACATGTGGACAAACTGACCAGTGGCGCCTGGCACTGCCTGGCTCGCTCCAGCGCAGACAGGCAGCGTCTTGGTCTGCGTGAGAGGCCAGCCTTGCTTTCACGGCTACCCTAACCTGTTCAACTTTCCACCGTGGTTATCTGACTGCTGTAACCGCACGTTACCGAGGAGAGAGACTTTGACCGAACAAAAATTATGCTGGGCTTTTGACATTTGTCCCAGTCCCTTCTGTCCTGGAACAGAACAGTCCTGCCATGGCAGCCAGGGAGCTGCTCACTCAGCAGTGGGCGGTGGCCCTCGGAAAGATGCCGCCGGGCCGCCAGGCAGGCCGCTTACCTGTGTCTCCACCACGGGTGCCTCCATGTGGGGGACCAGCCGGATGGAGAACTTGCCCGTGACTTGGCCAGGGATGACGGTTTTCGTCCCCGGCCCAGCAAACGCGCCCTCAATCCCGTGGATGGAGAGAGACGGATATCTCCACAGGTGCATGAGAACCTCCTCCTGGATTAAAGTTTTTTATTACAGACACAAATGGTCGATGGAAAGTACTCAGTTGCAATGCTCACATCACCGATTTCCGTGTGTCCGCGACACCATTCCCGACGAGTTAATTATCGCCCTGGACTAATCCTAAAAGGGGCCTTTTCCCTTGGGACTTGAGGGTCCTGGGTACTGTCACCTGCCCAGGCCGTGGACAAGGGCCCGCATCACCCAAGCTGTGCAGTTCCCACTTAAGAGCTGGCAAGGGCCAAATATGAGTTCAGTAACAGAGCTCCGTCCCCAACCAGCGCAATGACAACTCACAGGCAGTGCCACCCTCGGTGGGACCCAGAAGGCCTGCAAGCTCCCCGCAGACGTCCCACCCGGTTCCCCCTCACTGAGGCCACGCAGAGCCCGTCTTTGGAAGCAGGAAACGCTACCCCTCGGTCCAGCAGACACCCCCCGCCCCACATTTCCCCAGGGAGCAGCCGCGGGGACACAAAGAGGGAAGCGGTGACGACGACAAAGGGGAGAAAGTCTGAATTCTCCTTAACCACACTTGGGGCTCTGGGCTTGCTAACTGCACTGAGGCGGCGATGCCGCCACTCACAGAGTGGCCCGGAGGCCTGAGGTTTCGTCTGGGAAAATGGACAGGCGGCGGGGGTCTGGGAGCCTCTCTCTTTAGACAGACAGGAGCCCCGCCGGCATGGGACCGAGCGTGGCAAGCTGACTGGGGCAGGCAGGCTGTGAGAGCGGGGCCTCCCCGAGGGGCCTGGTGGGTCTGGACTGGGGGATGTGGCCCTGAGCTGGGAACGGCTTCCCTTGGGCTCCCAGCTGCCTCGGCTCTAAGCCGTGGGGTCAGCAGCTCACAGAAAGCGAGGCGCTGGGGGCAGCAACTCCCACGTCGCCCCTTTCCCGCACCGTCAACCCGTGCCCTACCTTGGTGTCAAACAGGAACTTCTTCACCTGGGTGCTGTGCCGAAACTCTGCGAGGTCCAGGTCGGTGGCTGAGTACAGCTGTCTCTCCTCCTCTGTGACAGGAGCCACCTGGTCGTAGATGCCGGGGACCAGGATGCGGCCGGAGGCGTTGGTGAGGCTCCCTGCAGGCACACACAGGGGCCGGGCCGTGCTGCCTTATGGACAGGCTCTCTGGTTTGCTTGGAAGCACAGAAAGTGAAACCCTGAGCTCCGCACTCCGTTTGGGACCCGACCTGACTTTCCTAGCAGAGTCCTTGTGAGGTTAGTGGGGTTCTCTGCCTGAGGGACAGGCACCGCGAAGTGCGGACGGACGGCAAGCAGCAACCCTGCTGGGGGCCGAGGTGAGATGTTACGGCGAGGAGATGCCGTTCCCATGGAAGAGGAGGTAAGCTCCGGCGAATGCGGCACTGGCCTCCCCCACTCCGAGTGCAAGTGTAAAGTTGTGTGCTGTCTGTGGTCTTCTGGAACATTAAACACTTTTAAGGAAAACGGCTTGTTGTATCATCTTAAATTGTCAAACGGGTTGCAGAACTTGTATAAAGGTGCCCTTTGTGCCAGGTGAGACAGATGCAGGTATTGTGGGGTCTGAGTTCATGTGGCCTGAGAACCTCTTTTCAAAAGAAACCAAAATATGAAGATGCAGGAGTGACGTCCCTGCTGCAACTGCAGAAGGGGCTCCCGCCAGCGAGGCCCCCAATGCAAAGCCTCCATCCATTCCCAGAGGCCCACACGCCCAGCTGCCGGGCAGTCCTGGCGCCTGGGACACATATGCATGCACACGCACATGCACACACGTGCACAGCCAGCACTCTGCAGCAGGTCAGAGGCAGGAGCAGCTTCCCAGAGCCTCTGCGCCAGCTGGGGCCATGGCGCCGTGGAGAAAGGAAGCCACGCGGCGCCGGTCCATCTGGCGCCATGTCGGAGTGCCTCTCCAGAAGCCTCTCGGGCCCATGCCATTGTCTGCATTGGAACCCATGTGCCACACAGTGTACAGAGAAAGGGGCGAATCAGGAAGCGCTGACTGAAGCGCCCATGGACTTCAGAAAGAAGTGACGTGGACTTAAGAGGCCCAAGGAATGTTTAGCTGAGGTGCAGAGCTGAGGATGTGCCTTTTCTTCCACCCACCTCCCTCCTGGGCGGCTTGCAAACCGAGGGAGCAGAGACATACGGGGTCAGACAGAACCATGTGTCAGTGGGTCCCAGGTGTTTGAAAAGTGAAGGAAGTGACACGTTACCGAGGAGAGCCACCAAGTCGGCCATCGGCTCACTGAGGATGCCGCCAAAGGTCCCTGAGTGGAAATCCTGATCTCTGCATTTCACCTGGAAGATGGGTGAACAGGAAGACAGGTGCTTAGTGCCATCGTTGCTGTGGTGACCGCTGACAGCTTTCAGACAGCGGGAAACACCCTAGCCGCCTCTCTCAGGACTCAGCCTGACGTCCCTGCTCCGGCTGTCTGGCCATGTGACATGGAGCATCTGTGCCTCCTGCCTCCATTCCTCGTGTGGCCCAAGTCCCCAGAACGGACTTCAGCCCCCGCCTGCTCCACAAACACACTCTATCCAAGGCCACTCTTGGTTTCACCCTGGACTGTTGCTCACCCTCCTTCCGGAAAAATTGTCCTTCCAGAAAGTTCCTCCTCTGCATGCTTTTCTTGCCAACAGGACAATTCTATGAACATGTCCTCGAAAAGCTTCTTCCCCATTTCCCAGCCCACAGCCCATTTTTGGACGCATCCTTCATCTGCACTCAGACCTCCGAGAACCGCTCACGGGGTCCCCTGCACAGCCCCCACTCATCCCGGCTCATCCCCGCAGGCCCGGCCAGCCCGCTGTGCTCCCTGTTCCTGAATCCACACCTAGAGGTCAACTCAACATCTTCTCCCACACTGGCTTCCTACCAGCCTGCTCATTTCCAAAACACGGAGGCCCCACCCCCCATCCTGCTAATCTGTAGCCTCACAGTGACCTCGGACCCCTCCTAGACACGCAGCATCCAATCTGCTGTCCAGGTCCGATGAGGTCTGTCATGGCCTCCCGTCTCTCTGGCCCCACCCAAGTTCCAGGTTTGGCCAGGTGAGCAGGCCCCTCATCTTCGTCCCAGACGGCAGAGGTGCAGGCTGCCCCCTGGAGCCGGGACTGTTCCCCTCACCAACCCCGAGCTGCTGGGAGCAGCCCCGCACCCCCGGGCTTTGGCTCCTGCCTCAACGTCACCACTACAGGCCCTAAACCCAGCTCATGACTCACAGGCATGGAACCCTCTTTGCAGAACAGCGTGCGAAGCACAACCGCTCACAGTGTAGGAACTTCACGGGCACCCCCACTCCCAAAACCTCCTCGGTGGCCCAGGCCCAGCGCCCAGGAGAACGCCCTGCTCTCCCAGAACTCTGCGTCCCTGCCCCTGCAAGAGTCCAGGGAGCCGGCTCCCACCTGCGCACCAACCACCACGGCGGCCGGCGGATACCTCCACCGTGAAGTAGCTGTTCCCTCGCATTCCGTAAATGAGTGCCGGCCTCTGGCTGAGCCACAGGTTGTCGGAAATCACAATGCAGTCCACATTGGAAAAGAACCCGTCCTTTTCTCTCTTGACAAGTTCCTCCAGGGCCACAGACCCAGCTTCTTCCATCCCTTCAAGGACGAACTTGACATTCACGGGGAGATCCTGGATTTACAAAGTAACAAAGAAACAAACTCTTCTGGCAAAACACGGCACAGCTCACCCATGCACCTTGTGAGACCCAGGACAGCATATCTCACATAAATACAGTCCATTTTTATACACATTCAGTGTGAGGGTCATTCACATTCCCAACACCTCTGCCTGTGGCCAAGGAGTTTTAACTCAGCTTGGGAAGGAGAATTCAAGGTAAGGCCCAGTGTGTTCAATCCAGAGCGCTCATCGATTTAATGTCGATACAGGATTTGGGGAGGGATTTCCTTAAAAGAGCAACATCTACGCCACAGAGCAGACACTCTTTCTTCCTTCCCCCCAAAAGGAGAAAGGTTCCTCAATTACTAATCTCTTTTCTGTCCTCATAATGCTGAGCATGATAAATGAGAACTCTTTCCTTTGAAAGACTATCTAATATTTAAGCCTCGGGATAATTTTTATTTCAAGTATCTGTTATTTTTCAACTACGAGTTCAGTCAGCCTTTTAACTTATTCAAAGGCTTTGATCATGCAGCAAAAATGGAACTTTTCCCCAGTTAATATTAGGGCACAGAATAGCGCCTTTAAAATTTTTACAGTGTGCCTCTTCCCCCATTTGGTTTTGATCTTATTGTATCTCTATAATTTATAACTTTGTATCACTTGGAGGCACATGAAAAGGGGAGGTCAAAGACCTCTTCCTGGAGCAGAAGATACCTAGGAGACTTTACAAGTGATGATATGCAGACAAACGGCAGCCCAAACATACTAATTAGGGCTAATGAGTGGGATCCATTCACCAAAGATTAACAAAGGCAGGCTGAGTGGGGGATTATGTATTAGACAGTGTGACCTTGGGCGTGTGCGGATAATGGCTTGCTCAAATGTGTCACTCGCCTACATTTCTATGTGTCTCAGGAAGTCCAGCTACCCTTCAGAAATCTTAGTATTTGAAAGCTCTTTATTCACATCCAACTAGCAAACAATGACTGAGAAGTAGTTGGAAAGCCTAAGAATTTTCTGGCAAAATGTGATTCATAAAATACAAGCCAGCGGCTACTAAGTGTTGGAGGATGAAGAGAGACCAGCAGGCAGGCCTGGGTTTTGGTCTCTGCTCTGCCCCTGGCCACCCCGGGGACCCGGACATGCCATTTCACCGCTGGGAGGCTCACTGGTCTCTCTGCGGCATGGGCACTGGCACTCACTCTGGCTCTTGGTGAGAGCATCTGGTGAGGTGACCCACGGTTAGAGGCCGGGGCACTAGGAAGAGAGGATGGGAGGGCGGGTGGGCACCAGGAAGGGAGAAACCGGCGTTTGTAGGCACAGGAGCACCTTGACCATGCTCCGCCCTTCACCCCACTGGGCACCTGGAGGCGGAAATGCCATTCCTAGTGCACGGGTGGGGGAAAAGGGGCTTAGAGAGAATTAACTGACTGGTCCACGGGCAGAGAATACTTCTGTTTTGTCTGTAATTATGTACATTTCAGAGTTGAAATGTAAAAGCAAAGCACATTTTGCCCTTTATACAGGACATCCTTATAAATATTGCTTTGCTTCTCTTAAGAAGGAAGGGGGAAAAACAAAGAAAGCAGGAGAGGGAGAAAAACCACCTGAAACGCCTGGAGCTTGTTTGGTGTGAGCGCCTAGAGGATGAGGCGGCAGTGGCCGGGGGCCCAGAGCCCACCAGGCTCAGCAAGCCCTTCCTCCCTGAGACCGGGCGGCTGACCCGAGGGCTGCACAGCCCTCCTCTGCTTGTGTCGTGGGAGAAAATAAACCCACGGAGGGGAAGCCCCCGGCACAGGATGAAATGTCCTCTGAGGAGGGACAGCACCACATCAGGCCCTGTGCCACAGGGCGGGACTGAGGGGCCTGGGCTGGGTCGGCGCCCAGATCTGGGCCCCTGCTGCCCTGCTCGTCCCCACAAGAGGCTGGGTGGGGACAAGCCCGGAACGTGGTCTGGAACCCCGATCTCCAGTCTCCAGGAGCAAAGGTGCTGTGAGTCAACGGAGCCATGCGACAGAAAAGGTCACAGGCTCCCTGTGTTGAGGTTGGCCCCACAAGACCCATGGAGGGGAGCTGAGGCCCCCCCTGTCTCTAGCTCACTGACTGGATGGGCTACTTCTGTGTGAAACGGAAGTCTGCTGTCCAATAAATGCAGCGTCACAAAGCAGCCACCCAGACCAACCCCTCCCTTGGACGGAGCAGGACCTGAGTCCCAGAGAGAGTCAGCCGCCTGCCCGGGGCCCCACTGCCAGACTGAAACCTCCCTTCGGAGTCCAGCACACACATCAGGAGAGGGGAGGGAGGCATGAGGCGGGACCGTCCTTGGGAGAGTGACACACTGGCCGGTTGGAGACCCTAACCTGGTCCTCCGGTGGTCCGAGGGAGGGAGCCCCGCCCGAAGCAGCACCCCTACCTTTCCACGCCCCGTATGGGATGCCTGTTGAAAATCACGTTTCCCAAGAGCAGACAGAGGCCTGAAGATTCAGACAGACTGTAACATGCTAGGGGTCTCTATCTTGGTAATTGTTAAAGTGGCTAATGTATTTTTAAAGTGCACATCTGTCTCTACCAAGAAAATCAGACCCTGTGATAAGAAGGGGGGAGATGAAAGAAAAAGAAGACAAGCTAAAATAAGATAAGGGGGAGACAGGTAGGTCCCAGCCGAGAGGAGCTCCCCGCCCCGTCCCCTGCTGTTTTCAGTTTCTCAGTGTGGCTGGCAGCACAGACTGGGGGCCCCGTGCCTGCCCCAGCCCAGCTGGGTGGCCCCGGGAAGTTCCCTGACCTTGGCAACCTCACCCTGCTCAGCTGTACAATGGGTGCGATTGTAAGAACACACACCTCCAAAGACCGCTAGGAAGAGGGGAGGACCTAATTCAGGCGGCAGCTTGTAGCACAGCATGCAACTCAAAGCACCACCACCACCACCACCACCATCACCATCACCACCACCACCACCATCATCATCACCACCTCAGTTATCTGCAGTGCCATGGTCATGGTCAGCGCCCTCCCTCCAGACATCACCAGGCACCTACTTCCTCCAGGGCCCGGAAGGTGCTCACGGCATTGATCCACGCCAAGACGGGCCCTTTGTTGTCTGTCGCTCCTCGTCCGTAAAGTTTTCCTGGGAAATGGGAAGTGTTTTCAGAACGGCTGGGAGGCCTCCGCCAAGTCGAGCGACTTCAAATCAAAGGTCATTCTGCGGGTCACTGCTCTGACACCCCCTTCTCCTTCCAGGAGCCAGTCTGGCTCTGAAGTCCCGAAGCACGATTTCTCGAGTGAAAACAGCATGGCTGCCATTGGCCATGGTCAGAAAACGCAAGCCCGTTTGAAACACGTGGAGCCGTTTGGCCTGAAGAGTAATTAGCTATTTCCTCCAAGTTCATGGAACAGGATCTGAGAGGGTTTGTCACCAAATGTCACGGAACCTAGCCCTTCATTTGGGGACTTCACAACTCGCAACAGGTTGAAAAGAGGGCGTCTGCATCTCCGTGAACCTGTCTCCTCCTTTTCTTTAAAAAGCATCACATTTGGTATTTTCAGAAAGAAAATGTGTGACCGAGATGGCTGTGCTCCTACACCCCAGGGCTCTGTCCTGGGTGCCACTTCACCCGGTGGCCCACAGGGCTGGGTTCCCGTCACAGAGGCGAGAAAACCGGCCTCGGTGGACAAGCTTGGAAAAGGTGGAGACCATGAGGATGGCCTTTATTGCGGTTGCCTCTCGCACATGCCCCAGCCCGACAGGGGGAACTGAACCCGCGGCCCAGGTACATGGAGCCCAAGGGGCGACCTTTCAGTTTGCAGGATGCTACCCCCCTGCTCCCCCCCCCCCCGCCCGCCACGACCAGGTCACAGCGGTCAGGGTGTGTTCTGTTCTTTCTCGACGACAGGTTAAGACCTGAGGCGGGGACGGGAGGCGCCTCTGAAGCCTGAAGCCCCCGGAGCAGCCCCGAGTCTGCAGCAGCACCTGCCCGGGCGGCGCCCGCCACTCACCGTCCACCTCCGTCAGCACGAACGGGGCGGTGAGCCAGCCATCGGCCTGCGCGGCGGGCTGCACGTCCAGGTGGCCGTAGAAGCACACGGTGGGCTTCTCCGGCTCCTTCCCCAGCTCGGCCAGGACGACGGGCGGGATCGGCAGAGTCTGACCACCAGACAGCTGCAGGGCGAAAACAGGTCCCTCTTTTTTTCCTTTTTTTCCAATAAAGGCTGCTTTTAGTTCTTCTGGAAACCTCAAAACCACGACACTGGGAGTCCTGTTTCTACCCCTGGGTCCTTGTAGAGCCCGCTTAACTTTCTGACCACCCGTTACCCGGCTCTCGGAGGGGCACCACGAGACGCGGGCAGCTGACACACGAAGCACTTCCGCCAACACAGGTGGAGGGAGCTGAACCGGGCCAGGCACAGCTGGGAAACCACGGGGAGATGCCCCACGCTGACCCAGGCGGCATCGGGCGCCAGGGTTTAAGGTCGCTCTGTGTGACTGAGTGGCAGTGACAGGCAGCCACTCGATGAGAGGCTGGGTCATTCGAGAAAGACGCCTTGGGGCTTCAGGGGGAAGCGGGCGTGGGAGCCGTGCAAAGCCTGCGTGCGGATGTGAATGGCACGGGGCCTCTCCGGGATGAGCCGCCCACGCTCACCCCCTCCCCTCACACTGTCCACCCACTAAGTCCTCCCGGGAGGAGAGGTCAGCACCAGGGCCTCCTGCGGGACGAGGAGGAGGAATTGTGCGCCTGACCGGGGACCGAGGGCACTAGGCATGTTTTTGTGGAGGCTCGGGGCACGCCCCACCCCGTCCCCAGCAGGGGGCAGAGTGCACCGTGCACAGGAAGGTGTCGGGGGCGAGGGGCCACCAGCACCTGCTGAGAGCCCAAGTCCACGAGGTCCACGCGGGCGCCCAGGCGCCGGAGCGCTGCGGCAGCCAGATCCATCATTCTGAGCAGCTCCTGTCTGAGGCGGGGCACAGGCTGAATCGAGTCACTCTCAACGGCCACCCACTCCTTGAGTGTCTGTGAGGCAAGGGGACAGGGCGATGAGCAGACAAAAGTCACCAGGACAAGCTATTTTGACCCCGAGTGTGGTGGAGCCCTGGACCTAAAGCTGCTGCTCGTGGGAGGCACCGCTCTGGGGTGGCGTCGGTGGGGGGGTTCAGTTGTGCTTGGGGGTGCAGAGGACCTCAGCCAGAGCCCTGTACCAGCCGCCACTCAAGCGACATCCCTAGGTCAGAGGTGCTGAAAAGGAACTGAGCGCCCCTTTCAGGAGGGATGGCTGGGAAGGCTCTCGCCCCTAAATCTAATGAACAGTAACTATGTTAATACAACGAGGAATCACAGGCAGGTTACACAGAATTAAGTTATCAGGCAAAACACCACATGTCCCACCAACCAGCCATTCGCCCCCACCCCAAAGGAACCGCACGCCGGTGCCCATCATGTGGTCTCCCAACCTGCACAAATTCGTCCTGGTGGAGGTCGATGTACCAGGAGAGCTTCTGGACCAGCCCTGGGGGCGGCCAGGACGGCGAGGACATGCCTCCCGGGAACAGCAGCGGCGGCGGCAGAACCAGGAGAGGCGCAACCTGTGGGCGGGCGAGTGGGCGGCGGGTGTGGACTTCAACCTTGCAAAGACACAGAGAAAGTGGGCCCTCCAACAGCCACTCGGCCGAAATAGCAGATGGCATCTGACCTGGAAATCTCTCTGGTGCCCCCTCTCCCCAGACGCTCTTTGTCAACCTTCAGCGCTGCGATGGGACAGAAACAGACGTTCGTCACTGTGTCCCGTGACAGTCCTGCCTGTCGGTCACTTCCCTCTGTGTCGTGACCCAGCACATGTGGTGTGAAGGGCACTATTTGTGAGGGAGAGAAGTGTGATCAATTTTTTAAAATCTTTACGACTGATTAGCCACTTGATTAGAAAATGAGTTCTGTAAGGACCGTCTGAACTCCCGTGCACTGCTGGTGTGGGGGGCTTCCTTCCGCCCGCTCCTGGAGCTGGGGTACCTCACAGAGAATCTTACAGCCACGCCGGATCAACAACACGAAGGTCATTTACACGCTGCTGGTCGCCCAGCCCACCTGGGAGCTGCTGGCCCGAGGCTGGCCCGTGGTCCCTCCCAGCTTTCTGCTTCTATCCCTGACAGGTCCCTTCCTTCCCTCCGGATCAATGTGGGACCTGCCCGTGACACCGCCCTTCCCTGTGTGGTGGCTCCAGGCCACAAAGCAGACGGCAGGGCCTCCAGGCTCAGAACTAACTCTTTATCTTCACCCACGGCATCTCTTCCGTGTGAGCTTTTGCTCATTTGAAAATAGACGTTATCTTTCAGAGCCAGTCCGGGCTGGACGGCTCTTGCCCTGGCCTCCAACTCTGGTCAGCAACAGAGCCAAGGTCAGGATGTGCGCGTCTAGACTAGACAGAGCCACTACCAGTCGATACCACAGGACAAACCCACCCAGTTTGAATAGACCTTTCTCCAAAGACAACATGCAGGTGATCGGTTAAGCATCTGAAAAGAGGCCCAACGTCACTGGCCACCAGGGAAACTCAAATCAACCAACCAGGAGACAGCGCCTCACACCTACTCTCAGGTTAAAATCACATGTCAGACGAGGACAAGTGTTTTCGAAGGTGTGGCAACCCTGGAACCTGGGGACACTGCTGCTGGGGACACGGAGTGGCGCAGCCGCCCTGGAAAACTGTCTGTCTGTCCTCGAGTGATTAAACATCTGCCCAGCAGTCCGACCCTTAGTCATGTCCTCGAGGGAGATGAGGCGGGTGTCCACGCAGAAACTCGGACATGGAACACTGTCCACAGTGACCTCATGCACCATAGCCACGCCCCACGTGTCCGTCAGCGGGCGAGCAGGTAAGCAGAGCGTGGGGTGCACGCTCAATGAAACGCCACTCGGCCACGGAAGGAAGGAGGTACCAGTGCACCCCGAAGTGTGGGGGAGCCCTGGACACCGTGCGAGGCACCTGGCCCAGCAAACCACACGTGGTACCAGCCCCTCCCCACCCGGCAGGAAGCGCCCAGGAAAACGGTCAAAGCCCGAGACATGAAGAAGACTGGCGGCGGCCTGGGCTGGCAGAGGGTGGGAAGGGGCTGATGGTGAGCAGTAGGGGTTCTTTCCGGGGTGATGACAGTTCTTAAGCTGGTGTTGACCATGACTGTACGATTCAGAGCACACTAAAAACCACTGAATCGGACACTTTAAATACATGAATTGTAAGGTACGGGAGTTACATTGCGATACAGTTGCAATAAAAATAACAACCATAGATAGAAACACTCATTCTGCAATACAAATATATTATCCAGCATGAAAAATGTCTGTAAGGGAAGCTGAGAAGTGGGAACATTCAGGGTCAAGGTGAGGCAGGCCCATTTACAAGTGGATTAAGAGCTTGGGCCAGAGATGGCATCAACAAGCCACCCGAGCATCCTTTGCCTCATCCCATTGGGAATGGTGCTCCATCCAGCCAAGCTTCGTGGGGCAGAGCCGAGGCCCAGGGGCTTGCTGTCTTTTAACTGTTCATATTTTTTATCTTCTTTTTCTAGGTAAGTCCCTTTAACATTTCATATAATGAGGGTTTGGTGATAATGAACTCCTCTAACTTAACCTTATCTGAGAAGTGCTTTATCTGCTCTTCCATTCTAAATGATAGCTTTTCTAGATAAAGTCATCTAGGCTGTAGGTCCTTGCCTTTCATGACTTGGAATACTTCTTTCCAGCCCCTTCTTGCCTGTAAGGTCTCTTTTGAGAAGTCAGCTGACAGTCTGATGGGAACTCCTTTGTAGGTGACTGTCCCCTTATCTCTAGCTGCTTCTAGGATCCTCTCCTTATCTTTAACCTTGGCTGATGTGATGATGATGTGCCCAGGTGTGTTCCTCTTTGAGGACAACTTGTTTGATTATTAACAACCACAACTAAAACAAAAAACAAACTAAGCAAACAACTAGAACAGGAACAGAACCACAGAAATGGAGATCACATGGAGGGTTAACAACAGGGAAGGGGAGAGAGGGGGAAAAGGTACAGGGAATAAGTAGCATAGACGGTAGGTAGAAAATAGGGGGAGGGTAAGAATAGTGTGGGAAATGTAGAACCTAAGTAACTTATGACACATGGACATGAACTAAAGTGGGGGAATGTGGGTGGGAGGGGATGTGCAGGGTGGAGGGGAATGAAGGGGGAAATGGGACGACTGTAATAGCATAATCGATGACATATTTTAAGAAAAAGACCCAGGGGCTGCGCATGAATGAGGAGGAGAGGTCTCCCGGGGCCCGGCAGCGCAGGACAGGACGTTCTGGGAGCCTGGGAAAACTCTCTGCAAAGTGGGCTCTTTTTTGCAGCCAACCCATTCCGTTTCCATTGAAAAATTGGGTGGTGCTCCTCTCAATAAAAAAATGGAACGGGGCCCTGGCTGGTGTAGCTCAGTGGATTGAGGGCAGGTCTGCGAACCAGAGAATCGCAGTTCGATTCCCAGTCAGGGCACATGCCTGGGTTGCAGGCCAGTTCCCTGAAGGCTATTTCCCAGCAGGGGAAGCACTAGAGGCAACCATACATTGATGTTTCTCTCCCTTTCTCCTTCCCCTCTAAAGATAAATAAATATTAAAAAAAAAAAAATGGAATGGGGCATTTAAAGAAAAGGAAGCAAGCAGTGGTCAAGAAGGCTGAGAATGGGGGGGTTTCAGTAGCGGCCCCCACCCTTCCCCACAGGAAAGGTGCCCCCAGACTGGCCCCCGAAGGGCTGTTCCTGGTGGTCGTGCTGCCCCAAGGTCTGCATGACCACCAGGCCATGAGCCGTGGCCTTGGAGATGGACTGTGACACCCCATAGGGCCCCCCCCCCCAGTCTCTGTTTGCTCAGGTTTCAGCCACAAACCTGGGAGTGAGGAGTGCAGTTTGCTGCTGAGCAGAGCACGGAATCCAAGTGGAGGTCTGGCCTCCCCCACCACAGGGCCTGTGCCCAGCTTGGCTCCTCCCCACACACCCAGGGGGGCTCATCAGCCAAACGCTTTCCCATCAGAAACTCCACGCCAGGTCAACCCCACCTACCAAATCGTTGACAGTCCCGTGTGGTTGCTTTACGAAGGTGGCTCTGCCCGCGACTGAACTGATGGCTTTGTAATAGCACAGGAAAAACACCTTATTAGTCTATCTCACCACCACGGGATTAGAAATAAAACCGGAACCTCCCCCTCCTGGAGGCCCTTCTGGACTCTGTTAACTCCCCTCGGGGCTGGGCTGGGCTGAGCCAGGCATTCCTGCTCAGGTGAACTCTGGCAGCATTGAGCCTTGAGGGGGCGAGCCGGTCAGGGAGTGGCTCTCAGAGGGTGGCCCGGACCCACCTGGGATGGAGGACACCGTTTACAGAAACAGACCTCCCCTGAGAGTCCCCAGAGGTACAAGCTTCTCCATCGCCCTCCAGTCTCAGGTATGGTGGGCGAGTCGGATCTCCGAGAGCTCGGGGCTGGCTGAGTCCAGAACCCAAGGCGCTGCCCACCCCCACCGGCCGCTGGCGGGAGGCCCTGCTAAGACACAGCAGTGCTGGAGGCGGGGTCACCAGATGGGGGTGGGCAGGGGCAGCCTGGTGCAGGCGGGGGTGCAGGGAGGGCTTGGGGTCAGGTTCCAGCTGGCGCTGACCGCTGGCGTGGGCAAGCGGCCCAGGCTGGACACAGCACACGTTTGCTGGGCTGCCCCGAACAAGGGAACCTGGAGGGAACTTGGGTTCTTGAGGCCGCTCCCTGCTAGTTACCTCGGATGACTGCCCCTCCCCAGGGCAGGCCGTGATGGGATCATAGAGGCAGGTGGGGGAAGGGCAAAGGTTCTTCCCGAGTCTTTGCCTTCTTAAAGACAACCAGCTTAAAACCACATTTCACAAAAGGCCAGTCTGGGCTGAGACTGCTTGCTGCCACTCCCAGTACTCCCGAATCCTCAGGGTGGATGCAGATATTACTGTTTTCTCTAGTTTTTCCTTGGTTTTCCTTGGGACGAATCATGGTGGTGTAACAGGCAGGCACGATGGTTGCTTGCCCCGCACCTGTGTCCCCTGCTGCCCAGCGACAGGAACTCCGGCCTACTTCCCCCTCCGGTGCTGTCAGCTGCAGCCCAGAGTCCTTGCTGGGAGCAAGGTGCCGAGGCCAGGAGCACCCCCTACCTCTGGATTGTCCCCGCCCCGTCTCCATGCCAAGTGCAGCTGGGGCTGCAGGCTGCGGGGCAGAGGCAGCGTCCACACCGGCCGGCCTGGCCGTGCGGACCTGGTGTCGCTGAGACAGGCCTCAGCTGCCCTCCAGGGGAAGCCTGGTAAGCTCGGCCACACAGCCGGGCCCGTGTCCTCACCAACTAGTACGTGGTGGTTTCAGGACCCACACGGGTCTCGCACAAGTTTTCCAACCCAGACACCACTAAGTCACAAGAGCAGACTGACCCTTTCACTCCAGTCGGAAAGGCCCCTCTGCTCCCTGCTCTCCCGGGTCAGGAGCGCGCCCGGCCAGGTTCTGCCTCTTTCCGTGCAAGAATGGGCAGCTGCCTTGGCAGCAGACCCCTGCCACGCACCAACGGGAAAGCAACCCAGCAGACCTGGGACTCTGCGGTCCCGGACGGCCGGTGCGCCGTCCCTGTCCCTTTGCAGCCTTTCATCTCTAAGCAGAACTCCAGGTGAAGTGCAAGGACCCCAGAGCACGCAGGCCTGAGGACTGGGTCCCCTCAACACAGAGGATCGGAGAACAGGCTCTCACCAAGGATGAGCCTCCCTGGGGACTGGAAGGAAGCCGGGCGGTTGGGCACAGATGCGGAGAGCCCAGAGCCCAAGGCTTCAGGAGGCTGTGCAGGTGCCTCCAGGGGCGGGGGCGGACCCGGGGGGGAGGTGGCAGTGAGGTCCTGGGGGCTAAAAGATGGGCTTCCAGGGCCACTGTTCAGGCCCAATAAACAGCAGCGCTTTCCCATCCACGTCCTGACCCGTGAGTCAAGGCGGTCAGCAAGGTGGACTTTCACACGAGGCCCTGCTTCCCACGTACTCTGGGTTGTGCATCCACCGGGCCAATAAAGTCTCCATTCCGTTTAAACCAACTCGCTCGGGGTTTTGGTGCCCAGGCAGCATAAGACAAGGGGACAGGGACTGACACTTCCCTAATGGCTGGGAGGGGCTGGGGGCGGGGGGAGCCCGCGTCCACCCATCCTGTCCCATGCAGGGCGCTGTGAGTCAGCAGGCAGTGATGCACCCAGGGCCCCTTCGCACTTTATTTATCCGCACAGCCTGAGACCACACGGCCCTTCCAGGCAGGGTCAGGATTGGAGGGTCCGTGAGAGGACAGGAGAAGCCCACCAGGGCTACAGTGTTCAGAGAAGGGCAGAACCACGGATGACAAGAGGTCGGGAAGGGGACAGGCACCCCGACCAGACACTCCCAGGGGGCCTGACCCTGGGTCAGAGGCAGAGGTGGCCCCAGGAAGCAGCGAGGCCTCTGTTTAGCCAACTGGACACCGACCAGAACTTTCTACAGAAGAACTTGTGCCGTTAGAGCCGGAGACCAAGTCACGGTGAGCACCCATGAGAACTCGGGGGCCACTCACAGCCACGGCCCGACGCAGGGCGCATCATTCCTGGGCAGGCTGGGGCTCTCGTGTCCACTCGTGGACGAGGAGGAAGACAGGCTGCTTTTGTGAGCGGTGGGAGGAGCATGAGGGTGGAGGCCGTCAGTCCTTCAGCTGCGACACTTCGTACAGGTACGCGGCCAGCATTTTAGTTCCTTCTATGTAGTTATGCCTAATGGGGAGGGAGAGTCACCGTGGTGGCTGGGGCCCCGCGGTCCAGGCACAGTGGCAGTCTGGGGGCGTCCCCCCACCCCCCCAGCCAGCCGGCGCTGAGTTCTGCCTGACTTCAGCGTCTGGGCACCTGGTGTCCAAGCACAGGTTCCGCCTGAGCGTCCCACCAGGAACCGGTCCTGGCCCCGGGCCCTTGGGTACTCGGGGTCTCACGGCCTCCCTTTGTTTCTGTGGGTCCAAGTCTCCAGCTCCCGTCCTAGGACCCAGGTCTCTGTCCCTCCCCGCTGCCCTCCAGGCAGGGTCTCGCCGGCTCAGTCCCTGGCTCCCTGCTTTCTTCCCTCCTCACCCCTTCCTCACGGCCTCAGGTCCTCCTGCCTGTGTGAGTCTCTCCTCCCACTGCCAACTCAGAGGTCAGCTCTGTCTCGGCCACCCCACAGAGCCCCACAGCGCCCATGGGGGCCAGGGATGCACAAAAGCAGCCGGAACAGCTTGCGCCAGCATCCGGATGTTACCAGAGAACCTCTGGGGACCTCAGGGAAACTCGGAAACACAGACCACCGGGCGAACCCTGAACAGCCCACAGGCCTCCTTCCCCGCTCCCCACCCGAAGTGCTACCCCTCTGCCCCCGCCAAGGACAAATGGGACAGAGCGTGGGAGGAGGGGCCCAGAGCCTCCCCGCAGCAGGGCAGGGGAAGCCTGGGGGTGGCAGAGATGCCAGGGACGGCCCGGCTCCTGTGGTATTTCCCACAAGTCCCCCTGAGGAGACGTGCCCAGGCTGGGGTGCGGACTGGGCTCTCACCTGTTGAGCTTCTCGTTCTGGGAGTGGGCGCCGTCATCAGCTGACCCCACGGGCAGCAGCATGACATTCTTGCCCGTGGCCTCCTGAAAAGTCAAAGTCACGGGAATACTGCCACCTTCCCTGGTCAGGTCCGGCTCCACACCAAAAACTGGGGGAATGAAACAGAAGAAGTGGTGAGCCTTGGAGCTGGGCCCCCACAGACCTACCTCCTGCCCCACCAAGACCACACCCCAAGTGAGGCCTGGGACAGCGGCCCCCCCTCCTGGCGCCCGGCGGTACAGCCCAGCCTGAGCACCCACGCTCTTCGGCGCCCCCCACGTGGCTTCACGCCCCCATGGTGCACGGAGCCCGCCCAGGCGCGCCGAGGGCCTGGGCATGCCCCCAGGGAGGAAGCCTGACCTCTTTTCAGGGCTCTTCTCCCAGCCATGTAATGAGGGTGGTTGAAGTCGGACACCCAGGGCTTCCCACCGTGGCCCAGGTACACCTTGAACTTGTTGGGGCTGCGCAGTTCAGCAAACTTCTCCGTCAAGTACTTTGTAACCTGAGCCCCGGACAGAAGAGGCAGTGTGTCAGAAAGCTCGGCATCGCCTCCACGGCAAGTGGCCCGTCCCACGGCTGGTGGGAGTGAGCACACAGGGCTCACACCTGGCCTGCAGGGCGTCTGCCCGCGTCCACCGAGGGTCTGCAGAGGGAGGCTGCAGGGGACCCACGGTGGGTCGACACGGGACCTACGGCGGGTCTACACGGGGCTTTACTACTCGCCCACCGCGGTCTGCCGCGAGCCGCCAGGGGCTCCAACGGGCCCATTTCCTGCTGCCAAAGACTGATCTGCATGACTGGGGTAACGGAAAAAGGGGTTTTGTCGAGAATCAAAATCTGGTTATTTGAAGGTAAAAGGTAATGTTTCAGTATCAAGCAATTCACCCTTTATGCACATATTTAAGTCCATGTAATACTTAAGTCAAAAATTTTTAAATGTTTTTTGACCTGCTTCTTTATAAAAACAGCCAGACCAAACACGGAGCCAGGTGGCGACCCAGGGATACCTCTGGATGACACAGGCCGGCCCACAGGGTCCTCTCCCAAGAGGGAAGCCCTTGCTTCCATCCCTCCAAACCTTCCCGTCCAGGGTGACTGCTCCGGGAAGCCCGCTGGGCCTGCAGCTACCAGAACGCATCCCCTCCGCTCTCCCCACGGCTCAGAGGCAGCTCCCCTGGACTCACCATAACACATTCAACCCAAAGTTGCCGTCTGACCTGAAGCCTTAGGACAAGGTCAGAGGTCCGGTTTTGGCATGCCTCAGCAGTGACAAAGGCCACCTCTGTGTGATGCTTTTTGTATGGCCTTTACCTCTGATCAGCCTCTGAACCGCGGATACCAGCGATGACCCGCTGGCCGGGGCCCAGAGGCGGTGGGTATGGACGTGGGTCCCCAGGTGTGCACTGTCCCCCGAGGCCAAGCCGCCGCACAGCAGCCCTCCCGGCGCCCCAGCGCCCCACGTGCCTGCTCGGTGACAGCCTCGGGGGTCATGTTGGGCACAAGCCTGATGGAGAACTTGCCGATCACTTTCCTGGGAATCACGGTCTTGGCCCCGGAGCCAGAGAAGGCGCCTTCGATCCCGTGGAGGGACAGCGACGGGAACCGCCATCTGTGCATCAGGACGTCTTTCTGCAGAGAGCAGCAGAGCAGGTCAGAGGCTGCACTGTCTGCCTTTGAGGAGACAGGCATGTAGTCTGGGGTGTCCCTCTTCGTCACCGCCCATCCAGCGTCAGCACCAGCACAGGAAGGAGGCACCGGCCCCAGTGCACACTGGTACCTGCTATGTGGCCCCAGAAAGGGGGCTCTGTGCTCCCAGTGGCCCCGAGTGTGCCACGTCCATGCAGCTCTGGACCACTCAGTTCAACAAAACGGACAAGAGCCATGGGCTCCTGCCAGCTCTGTGGAATACGGGGAGGTCACGGTCCCGTGGACATCAGAGCCTCTACAGGACCAGAGGCACCGGGAGGAAGAGGGGGTCACAGAACTTGGACCGTCTGCCAGCCCCTCCTGAGACCCATGGGGCACAGAACTCGGGCGAACTTCCTGGGGGAGCAGGAAAGCCAGGACCGCCCACTGTGCCCCAGGCCCCGCGTGAGCTCTGCACGCAATTTTACACGCCTTGGCCCTCCTGTCTCTGAAGACATGGGAGGCCAAAGTTGGGCCGTGCTCCCCCCGTACCCCAGGCCTGTCACTGGGGTTCAGTTACCACTGGATGGACTGAACGCAAGCCTGTGTCCCTCCTCCTAAACCAGGAGCTAAACTACCAGTGACCACACAGCTTCCCCACCCCCAGGCTGCAGGAATGTCTTGTGCAGTTGGCAACTGAACACGGGCTCCACGAGGTGGATGTCACATGGCCTCTGCCCAGGGCAGGGGGGCCATCCCACACATGCAAGCAGGTGACGGCCACCTGCCTCCATCTCGGTCTGCTCTGCTCCTGCCCTCCAGTGCCCACAGCAGCACCGGCACCATGGGCCTTTCTAACCACCTCTCTGCACCCAGCCAGGAGGGGCCTGCTTCCTTCTGGGGGCTGCACCCCTTGCCGGCCCAAGTGCCCAGGGACATGGCCGACCGTGCCAGCCCTCTGCCCCTCCCCCCAGGGCCCGGCAGTGGCAGCCACGGCCGGGGCCGCACCTTGCAGTTGTGCCGCAAGGCCCGCGCCCCCACGTCCTTGGTGTACTCCTCCAGGTCGAAGTCGATCTTGTCGTAGAGCTCCAGCTCCTGCTCCGTCACAGGGGCCACGGCCTCGTGGATGCCGGGCACCAGGATCTTCCCCTTGCCGTCCGTCAGGGAGCCTGCAGCGGGGCAGGGAGGGGTGTGCTCAGCTGGCAGGTGGCAGGGAGCCCAGGCCCTGCAGCCAAGGACGAGCACGAGGGCCCTGGGAGGCACTTCCTGGGCACATGGGCGCACTCAGGCTCTGTACCAACCCGGCGAGGCAAGCAGCACCAGCTCCCCAGGTTAAGGCAGAGACTGAGATTCGAAAGGGCAGGCGAGCTGTCCCCGGTCACAGACCGGGGCTCTCTGAGCAGAGTGCCTGCCCAGGCTGTGGGGATCAGAGCGGGGTGCAGAGAAGATCGCAGTCCCAGGAGCAGTGCCGACTGCACAGCCAGCGGCTAGCCAGAGGAAGCAGGTGTCAGGAAGGGTGGGCGGAGCCTGCAGCCTTGCTGTGACCAGATACAGCGTGACAGACTCAAGCAGATGCCCTGCGTGAGGCGTGGCACACAGTGTGTCCAGAGGAAGGATGGTCCTGTGGTTCTAGGGGACGGGCTGGGCAGGGGTGACAAGCTGCATCCTGGAGGCGAGGCAAGGTCCAGGACATAGGGAGGAAGCGGGCAGACGCAGAAATGTAGGCTCGGTCCCCAGTCTCTTAAAGGGGACAATGAGCGGAGGGAGGGAGGCAGGGAGCCTCAGCGTGGCACGGACGCGGGTCACGCAGAACGCTGGAATGCACCGGACGCTGGTGACAGCCAGCAAACGCCCACCCCTCCCTCCCAATCCCCAGGAGCTGGTGGACACCCACGCTCACCCATCAGTGCGATGAGGTCGGTCATGGCCTCGTGCACCGAGCCCCCGTAGACGCCGGAGTGCAGGTCTCTGTCGCTGCACTCCACCTGCACGGGACAGAGGCTGCACTGTCAGGCTGCTCGGTGGGAGCTCACTGTTATCACCTGACAGTGATTTTAAAAATCAAAATTCGCTACCTCAATGAGCTAAGCAAGGTGTTTCTTAAATTATAAAACTTGGAAGCAACAACAAAAAATAACCTTGGAAATGCTAGCCACAGGTGAACCGGGAACCCTACCCACAGGTGACTGGCTGAGCCCAGATAAACTAGGGGTGCTGAAAGCCAGCCGGGGCCTGGGGCCCGAGGATCAGGGGTCAGATCCCACCCACCGCTGCCTCGCTGTGTAACCAGGGCAGGGCAGCGATGGCTCGGGCCCGGTCTCCGCCCCTGCTGGTTTATAGGTGTGGCAGGTAGAAGGGTGCCTCGCACACACTGAGTGCTCAGGGTGGCAGCTGTGATCACTTCCGGCACCTGTGCACCTACAAGCCGCCCTCACGTGCAGGGGCTAACTTCACCGTTACCACCTGGGCCGAAGGAAACCGCTCCCCCCCGCCAAAGTGGAAACTGGGGCTCAGCCCCCCACATAATGAGTGGCAGGTCAGTCCTCCCTGGTCCAAGGTCCCTCAAGGTCACTCAGTCAAGGGATAAAAGCCAAGGGCTGAAACACCAACACTTCCCCTTTTTTAATCCTCACCTGAGGATGTTTTTCCACTGCTGTTTTTAGAAAGGGAGGGAGACCAACATCAATGGGAGAGAAAAACATTGATCAGTTGCCTCCTGAAAACACCTGGACTGGGATTGAACCCATAACCCAGGTATGTGCCTGGGCTGGGAATTGAACCTGCGACCTTTCAGTTAGGGGACAACGTCCCAACCACCTGAGCCTCATCAGCCAGGGCAGGACACTCCGCTGTTCACAGGAAGTCTTTCCAAAATACTCTGCGAGTCTCCCTAACGGACCGGCATTGACGTTTGCTCCACTGCTGCAGGACCGCGCGGCAAAGAACGCCCCGGCTTGAAGGTGTTGACGCCGGCTCTGCCGACACCGAGCCTGAGCACCATCAAGGTTTCTGCCACAGAGAAGCCGGCGCCTCGAGCCTGTAGCCCACTTCCTGCCACTGGTGACCGAGGGCCAGGGAGGGCCGGCTGGCTGTGGACCTCCCAGAGTGTGGCACATACCTCGATGAAGAAGTAGCAGATGCCCCGCAGGCCGTAGGTGATGCAGGGCTTGCTCTTCCCCAGCCAGTAGTTGTCGGAGATGCAGACGTAGTCCACACCCTTGAAGAAGGTGTCTTTCCGGGCCAGGATCAGCTCGTCCAGGCCCTCGGAGCCCGACTCCTCCATGCCCTCCAGGCAGAACCGGAGGTTGACGGGGATCTCCTGTGATGGGGGGCGTCGGTCTTAGAGACAGCGCACAGGAGTCCCCGAGCATTTTCAAACCGCCAATCTCCAGGACCCAGCCCCTCCAGACAGAACACTGGGGCTGGGCTGGTCGTGCCTCCCAGAGTGGAGCCGGGTCCCGAGGCCCTGCGCTGTCAGGGGAGGGGCCTGGCTGCAGCCACAGTCACGCCTGCCCTGAGAGCACCTCACTAGCCACCTCCTGGCGTGACTCCGCTTCTCCTCACAGGGGTCCCCGCGCTGGCCCAGCGCCGGATGAGGTCTCCAACGTGGTCCCTCTGAACACAACACTGGGTCTCTTAGGGCTCAGATTCTAGGCAACCTTTTCTTTCTACTTCTCCGTGTTTCACAAACTTTCAAAGAGAACTGCACACAGTTAAGGAACACATTTTAACCATCAAATGTATTTTCAGAGGCTGTGAGGTGCAGGGAGCAAGTGAACGGTCTGTTCACAAACACGGCCCTCAGGCACGAGGTCTGCCCTCCCCCCCGGGGGGCCTAGTCTCTGCTGAGCCAGCAGGTGTGACCCTTGAACAACGTAATGACACCTGCAGGGCTTCCTGACGCTGAAACTCAAGCTGTCCTCTCAGAGCTGAGTCCCTGGGCTGACACCCTGGGGGAGCTGGCTGCCTCCGGTCCTGGTGACCTTTGATCGGGGCCAGCCCAGCCTTGTCCCTCAGATGGAACCAGGCACACCTGACTCGTTTTCTGGAAGGCTTCCAGGGCGTTCATCCAGCCGGCCACTGGCCCCTTGTCATCGGTCGCACCTCTCCCGTACAATTTGCCTAGAAGAGCAACAAACAAATCCATCAAGTCACAAGGAGACAGATGGGAGATAACCCTCCGTGAGCATCTGCTAACATCCTGGCAAGACCACGCGTGTCCGGCCTGAGCTCCTCGAAGCGCTGGTCCAGACAGCGGCGGGGGAGGGGCCTGTCCTGCAGGGAGGTCAGGGCTGCAGCTCACCACGCTGCGGTGACCACGCGGCACGCGGCCGACCTTCCTCAGACACGGCCTGAGGACAAAGACTGGACTGCGCACAGTAACGGCACGTCTGAGGAAGGACTCTCAGTACAGACAGCTCCGACTTGGCCCAAGGGAGCACAGTGCGAGGGGACAGGCTTCTTATCTGGCCAAGGCCGGTGGCCGGCACGCACAGGCGGAGATGAAGAAGGGCAGGCAGCTGGGGCTCTCCAGCAGGGGTGGGAAGGAGAGGTCAGCCTAGTAGCTGGGGCGAGGGGGTCCAAGATAAAGCCTCTAAATGCCTGTGCCCACCCAGTGGGGTGGCATCCATGACCATGACTGAGCCGTTTCTGTCCTTGCCCAGGGTGGCCAACAGCGGGGAAGACAAACCCTTCCCTCCTGTCCCCAGGCGGAGCTGCTGAAATGCACCACGGAGGCGTCCAGAAATTGGCTTTCCCTGGGGGCCTGGTGTCAAGGGCCACGGTGCCCCCACTCAGAACTGGGGGAACCCAGCTGACAACAGCCCACTCCCACAGGACGGGGCACTCTGCTGTGTCTGTGATTCCACACACGTGAGACTTCCTCCCCGAAGCCGATGTCTACATTATGTCAAACAGCTTGTCCTGGGCAGGTGACCAAGGGCACGCTGGTGACTCTGCCAGGGCGAGGCGGCAGCCTTGGGAGCCCCCCCCGCCCCCTCCCGGGACAGCACCCTCACCGTCCCGCTCCACCAAAGTGAAGGGCTCGCTGTCCCAGCCGTCCTCCAGGGCTGCTGGCTGCACGTCCAGGTGGCCGTAGATACACACCGTTTTCTTCTGGGGGTCGGAGCCCAGCTTGCCGAGTAGAATGGGGGGCAGTGGTATCTCCGAGCCGTCGGGGAGCTGGGTGGGGAGACGGGCAAGTGAGCACGGCCTTTGTTTAAACACCTGCAGTTTATGGCGACGTTATTAAAATGCCTGCAGTGTTCTTACCATTCTTGTCAATCACCCTCATTGTGGAGTTGAGATCAGACTGCTCCACTGGATCATTAATTAACAGGAATTTACTTTCCCATAATCCAGAGAACAAAGACACAGTTGTATTTACCAACTGCAGGCCCTTTGGTAAATTTTTTAAGGCAGATTGTTTTTTAACTTTTATGTAACAAAAAATGTTATGAAAGGTGAGTTTGGGATGCAACTTATTCCAGTACTTTCTCGAATAATGGATAAAAACCACTACGACCTTAAAGCAGAAGGCAGGTGTCTGAAAATCTGTATGCAGATTCCAGTTCTGCACACACGGGGCCATAGCCCGGGATACAGTGACCAGTCTCACAGGGAGCCCATGCTCATGCACTAGCGGATGGTCCTGGGCTTTCCCCTGAGGGCCTGCCCAGTCTCCCCCAGCCCCGTGGGAACCGGGTCAGTGCATTAACCACGGCATCCTCGCCATTCAGGACAGAGTGGGGGGATACAGTGGCAAATACGGGGCTCCTCCCAAGCGCATGTCGGCTGGACCCTCCAGCTGTCACTTTAAATGCACCCTGCACCCGCTCCCCCAGCTCCTATATCACAACAGGGACACCTGTCACCACTACAAAGTACCCCCAGCAAACTACTGGGGTGCGGGGGCCAGAGAGCGCAAAGTACACACCCCCTTTGTGCCAGCTGCTGGGCAGGGATCATCCGTGCTAGAACCATCACGCACGTGAGTATCAGTCTAGTTACTAGAAAATGGTCTTCATGGAAACATACATTAACAAACACACGGCTAAACTGGTAATGAGGCTGAACCTGCAATTCACAGGCAAGAGGCAGGCGAACGGCTAGTAAAAGTGACCAGCCACCGGGATGCAGCAGGTGATGGTGCCAGGGGCCCCGAGTGCTGCTGGGTGCGCACATCCTTCCAGAATGAGCCAGGCCGCCGGGACTCCTGCAGGATGCGGATTTGCCTCCTGTGAGTGACTCTTGGGAGCCCCACAGGTGCCCACGTGCGGCCCTCATGGGGACGGCCTCCGTGAGCCACCAGGGGCAAGGGGCCACTCCTCACGCTCCCTGCCCTGGTCTCACTGGTCACCACACTGGGGCTGCAGCTGGACCGCAGCTTGCCTTAGGGGGAAAATGGTGTTCAAACAACAACAGATTTTCTCTAAATAAACTTCCACACAAAACAGCTACTGTGAAACCCTTTAGAATTTTCGAAGGAGCCGTGCGGGCCCACAGGTAAGTCAGAAGAAAATTCATGCTGCGAACCGCACCCTCTCTCTGAGTACCCTCCACTGCCCTGGGCGTGACGGCCCGAGTTCAGAGACCGCGCCCTGCCCTCTGCCAGCGCACCTGCCGGCACAGAGCTGGGGACCAGGGCTCCACATTCTGCCGTCCTTTCCATCCCACTCCCATGGCCGCCACCAGAACGAGACGTGGCACCCAGGGAGCCTCGCTCTGTCCCGCACATTGTCACTTCTTGGCTGCGGAGCCAGGGCCGCCCCACTTCCTGAGCCCCTCTGCCTGGGATCGGGCCCTGGGTGAGCAGGTCTCCCACACCTGCAGGCCAGGCAGCCGTTTTCTGCACCAGCTGGGGCAGCGGCAGCAGACAGGCCCCACCTAACCTTGGCTGCACCAGCCTGGGTGGGGAGGACCAATGTCCAACAGCACCAAATCAGCTCCCAGGGTCTTATCCACTAGGCCCTGTGCCCTGAAGCCCGTCACCAGGACTCAGAACCCCTGCGACACCATCCTTCCTCCGTAAGCCTGTGTGTGCGTCCGATAACACCCACTCTCCCTCGACGCCTGTCCACAGTCGCCCTGGACCTGAGAACCAGCGCACTGCTGCCCAGAGCCCGGGACCGACGCTCCGCGACCTCACTGTGTAGGCTGCCCTGGACTGCTCGAACAGTGATGAAATCTGTCGAGTCCAAGGTAAAAATGGGTGCTGCGCAGTTCAATGTGCCGCAGTGGTCACTTCAGTCCCCGTGGGGGGCCTTTTCTGAAAAACTGCGCCGTGTGTCCGCACTCAGGAGCCCCGGCCTGTCCGTGGCAGTGAAACAACTCTGGAAAGCTCTCTGTCCCCCAGCTTTGTTTGGAAGACAACAGGGAAAAATGGAGTGGGAGCCCATCAGGCACGTTCCCGAGAGAAGGTAATACAAAGGATCTTGGCTTATTTTCTCACGAGCAGAGGGAAGTGCTGGGAGGCTGCAAATTCTGTTACGTAATCTTAACGCAGCGATGCAATCTGCAGCCAGGAGAAACCGAGCACAGGCGGCTGGGCCCCCCCCCTGTGCCGCGGCTGCAGTGACTCCTGGGGAGACCCAGCCCGCCTGGGCCTCTGGGCGCTTTCGGTCACGGAAAGAGCAGACTGGGCTGGACGTCCACACGTGCAATCGGGGGACGATGACCTCAGCTGACACCTACACCATCCGGCAAGAGACCCGAGATAAACCAAACCTCAACACACCCTGCAATATGAAATCACCCTGCCACTTTGAAAATACATGGCACGAAACGTGTGATTCAGGTGGGCCTGGCCTCGTCCGAAACTAAGAGTGGGCTGGTTAGCAGGATGTGGCCCGTTCACGGCGGTCAGGAAGAAAACTGACCATGGCCATCTGCCAGAGTCCAGCCCCCACACAAAGTTCCTCTTCGTCAAGAACGAGTGCTCTCCCTAGCAATCGGGGCCTGGGGACAGAGTGTGGGGACAGTGGGAGTCTTCGTGTGCTCACACCTTCGTGGACAGGGTGGACCTGCCCAGTGTGAAAGGAAGCTGATTTCTGGGACATCTTGGCTCTTTTCTAAGAACAGCCCCCGGCTCACTTCTGCTCCGGTAACCCCCGTAACGCTCCCTACCGGACAGAAATGCCCAGGATGACAAACCCTCTGCCTGTCCACCTACCTTCACAAATCAGGCAGGGATGAGTATGCAAATTAGGCCTTTTAGTTTAGAGACAAGCAGGGTGGTTTAAAGAACGCGCGCCCCGCACCGCACCTTCTGTTTTCCAATGTCCACCAGCTCCACGGAGCCGCCCAACTGCTTGATGTCCGCGGCGGCGACTTCCATCATCTTCCTGATCTCCCCCCTCTTCTCGGGCCACGCGGACACGCTCTGGATGGCCACCCATTCTGCAAGCTTCTGTTTGGGGACAGTGAGGGAAAGGGGACTCTCACCAGGTGCTCCTCGAGGAAGAAAGGCACCCATGCATCTGCCGTGTCCTGGGCACCCAGCGCTGGCCTGTGACCTGCGGCCACTCCACTTTGACCTTGTTGACCAGGTGTAGGGGACAGATCCACCATGCCTGCTCTGTGCCTAAGGTTTTTAAATCGTATCTTTACTGACCCCATAACAAGAAGTACAGCACAAAGGAAATGTGTCAGGATGCGTATTTTTAACCACTGAGCACGGGGTGAAGGTAGGAGGCACCCCATTCTGTAAATACTTTGACACCGGAATCTGACACAAGTACAACAGCAGGATACAGAAAACAAATGGGATTTTCAGTCCCACTCAGCTTGGTGATCACACCGACACGGGCCACGATCCCCCAAGTGTGCTTCTCAAAGACAGAGAACGCTGAAGGGCTCGCCCGGACTCAGTCTGCTGATGGTGACCTCAGAGCATGGGGTCAGCCTCCAGAAACGGGTCACACCATAACTTTAGTGACTCTTTTAAAGCATCTGAAATGCCAAATAGGTCTCTGACCTAGACCGACATGAAGAATTACAGATGGAGATGAACAATCTCATAAGGTTTTCTGTCAAAAGCCAAGAAATGGTACCTTCTATACATTTGAAGGTATAGAAGAGACTAAAGAAAAGGGTAATGAGCCCTGGCTGGTGTAGCTCAGTGGATTGAGCTTGGGCTTGTGAAGCAAAGGGTTGCTGGTTCGATTCCCAGTCAGGGCGCATGCCTGAGTTACAGGCCAGGTCCCCAGTGGGGGACACATGAGAAGCAACCACACATTGATGTGTCTCTCCCTCTCTATCTCCTTCCTGTCCCTTCTTTCTAAAAATAAATAAATAAAATATTTTTAAAAAAGGGTAATGAGGTAGTAAAGGAAAAAAACCTCTAGACTATATACACACACGCATACACGTTTTTAGTAGCCATTTTTGGGGTGGGAGAACACTTCAGAACCTCTCGGAGCCAATTCCAAGCAGACAGCACAGCCCCCATGCTGCACCTCCAGACCGCAGTCACCTGAAAACCGAGAGTGAGTGCCGTTCGCCCGACATCTCCCCACCGCGCCCCCCAACCGCTGCTCTGCTACCCGAGTCCTGTTCTCAGATGGTCCACAAGTGAGAACAGGCAGTGCTGTTCTGTCCTTAACACTTCCCTGGAACAGCGTAACTCACAGTCGCTCCTGAGCCCCACAGAAGTAAGTTGGACTTTAGGTTTAGCAGCATAAATAACTGTTCCCTCACCTTGATGTAGCGATCCTGGTTGTCATCCACGTACTTGAACAGGGTGGTGAGGACCGACATCTTTCAACCCGAGGGCAGCCCTTGGAGATTCTGGGAGGAAAAGCGATCGGTCAGTCCTGTCTCTAGACAGCGCCCAACTGAATCAGGACAGGCTCTGGATGAGGGCCACGGACTCAGACCCCGCCCTCCCGGCCACTTGGGTTCCAGGAAGTCCCGGGCTGCCAGGAAATGAAAGCTCTGGGATGCAGTCAGAGGCTCGGCTTGGTCTCCCACTCTCTCTCAGAGGGAACTGTGACCAAACTGTGTCAAAGCCGCAGGTAATGAAGGAAGGGCCTAGTGGAAGACATTCTGACGAAAATTAAAAGTAGGTGCTTCCCAGTGACATGGACTTAGAGCACTTAAAACGTGTAACTTCACTCCCGTGAGGCGCGCAGAGAACTTTCCACCTGCTGTGGCCACAGAGGTGATCATCGCCTCCCCATCCCAGCAAAAACGTCACAACACCGCAAAAAGCCCAAGGCCAGGCCCTTGAACTCTGCAAGAAAGTCGACAGTCTGAGTCCAGGACCTGCCTAAGGCAACAGGTGCGACCTGCACACAGGCCTGAGCAGGAAAAGCATCTCCACCCCTCTGGGCCCCCACTCGGGTTCCCACGCATGCGACCCAGCATGCCCAGCTCCACCCACAGGCACAGAGAGGGAAATCCTTTGATGGACGGATCACCTTTAAGATCTGAGGTGCACATGAGACAAAACTCATCCTGGTGCTTCCACTTTCGAAACTCCTTCAGCTGACAACTGGGGTCCCCCCAGTGCTGGGCCACACTCCACTGATGGGCAGTTTCAGACCCGCAGCAGCAGACTCCCAGGTCCAGCCACGGCCTGCGGTGCTCCGGCACTGGCATGGTGCCTCACCAGCATGTATGAGACTCCAAAGTGGATTTTGAGCAGAGAAGTGACTGTACTCACAGTGACAGGTAATGGGACAGCTGCACAGGGGCTGAGGAGCCACCCCTGCGCAGGGCAGTGTGAGGTCGGTGAGTCCATAGGTCAAATGGGCATTCCCGGTGCCTCCTTCTTCCTCCTCTGAAAGCAGCCTCACAGCCTGACATACTCACCAATACAAACCCACGAGCCAGTGGAGGCTGAGCCCTGGAAGAGCCCCGCACGTAGTCCACCAACACTACAGGCCTCATGGGTGTTGGTAAGTCAAACTTTCACCCACCCATCATCAAAACTGTAAACAGGAAGCATCTGTAACACTACACTAGGCTGGTACTTTTATTTGAGTTCCCAGTCATTGAGCACCACAAACCCCGAACTCGCCCAGGGTGTTTAAGCCTGGACCTCCCACAGAGGTAGGACCACCAACACTGCGCCTTCCCCCAGAGCAGAGTCCATGGGCCAGACCAGGTGGCCCACTGGACCAAGCACAGCATCTCACGCTCCTCCACAGGGCGGCCCGCCTGGGTCTCCTTCTCCTCCCTACCAGGGCTTCGGGGCTGTCCAGTCCTCTCCTGCCCCCCATAACCTGGGGCTTGCTGACACCAATGTCTTAAGGCAAAGGCGCGGTGCTGGTGTGAACCCAAGTACATATCCTTTGGAAATGAGTCCCGCCCTCACGGCCCCTCTTGACCCCTGAAGTTCCCGGGGAGCAACAAGACTTCAGGAGGGAACCTAGTGGGGCGGGGGACAGGGATGGAGCTCCTGGGACCACCTACAACACCTGCAAACCATCTCTGTCCGCACGTACTGAAGGGCGCACTTTAAGCAAATCCCGCATCGAGGCTGAGTCTCTGCAACAAGCCACTACACCAGGGGCAGGGGTTCCTAACTGGCCCCATCCAGAGTTCCCAAACACACGGTCCCACGAACTCTGTCCCCATTCCTCCACGCCGACACCAGGGACGTTCAAGTTATGCACGCAAGGTGCCCGCTGGAGCAGGTTCGCCGCCCGCCCACCGCACACCGGCTCAGCTCCAGGATGACGCCCCAGACCCCATCGCAGCGGCAGGGGCGGGCGGCTGGCGGCCCCTCCGCGGGCCCCACGGGCGGGGTCGTGGGTGCCGCAACCCGGGGCCAGGGCTCGCGTCTATTTCCCAGGTGGGAATTCCAGAGCTGATGTGACCACAGAACTGTTCAGAACCGCGAGCTGCAACCCCCGGCCTGGAATGTCGGCGGAAGCTAGCAACCTCTGACCCCGGGCCGCCCAACCCCGACCTAAGCCTCTGTGAAGCCTCCGCGGGACAAAATCGCCCCTGCGCTGCGGCCCTGGACCAGAGGAGCCACGGGTTCCGCGCCGGCCCCGTTTGGACGAGACACCCGGGTCTCCCGTCTCCGTCCGAGGCGAGGGACCCAGAAGTGGGCGCGGCCACTCCACACCCGACCCCGTGGCGGCCGGCGCGGGCGCACTCTAGGCCCCCGCGGCTCCAGCCTGACCGAGACTGCAGCCCTCCGTCCCGCCTCGGCTCCTTCCGCACTCCGAGCCTGGCGCGACTACTGCACCCCCTCTCGGGTCCCTTGCTGGGCCAGCGAAGGTCGCTCACCTCCCGCCGTCGCCGCACGCCTGACGTGTCTGGGTCAAAGCAGCGCGCGGTGCAGACGGCAATCCACGCCCAGCCCACAACCGCGGCCTCTTCCGGAAAACCGGCTGGCCCCGCCCTGCGTCTCCCTGGCCCCGCCCCTCCAGGGCGCGACCCCAGGCTGAGGACCCAGAGAGGCAGAGGGTTCCCAGCACGCCTGGGCGTGGCCGCCCTTGTGCCTATAGAACGCTGTAACTCTGTGCCTCCGACTCTCTCCTGCGATTTGGCGTCTGAGGGTTGGGTTTTAACGACGTTCCGCGGTCCCAAGTTGCGGTGCCCACAATTTCCGCCCCCCCCCCGACCCTCCAGCTTTGGGAGTGTCCCAGCCCCCCCAAAACTCCTGAGCGGTGCACGTCTTGCCAGTCACGTACATTTCCATTTCACGTAGCTTTGGCACTTCTTTCACAAAACTTGCATCAGCACCATTACCAATGTTTTAGTATTTAAATTCAATAATCCTGGAAATTAATGAGGAAGGCAGACTGTCAACCCAGGGTCACAATGGCCAGTTCCATGCCCACAGAAACCCCTGCTTTGGGGTGCAGCGAGGAAGGAAGCTTTAGGAAGCTATTCAGTGCCAACAGCTCCACTGTGCATGAAAAGGGGCCTCGCACTCACCCTGACAAGCTCAGGAGAAGCCTGCTCAGGAACTTGCAAACTCAGAGATGGAAGGTAACCACACAGCACGGTCTGTCTTTACCTTAACTGAGCCTGTCTGTTGTGTTTTTGCATCCAGGATGGCAAATGCAACGATTTCCCTTTTTTTCTGGACCCCTCAAAGGACTGGCAATGAATCAGAGCAGAGACGACAGATCCCCTCATTGTCACTGTCGAAGTGTTGTTGACTGTTAATTATCCTGTACCCACCCCCATAAAAGATGTGTCTATCATCTTTTTATTCAATCCCAGGGGTGTCCCCATCTCTCCCCCCCACCGCTTTGCTTTCTCTCGCCTTCCTAATCTATTACCCATGGATTTCACGTAACCCCCTATGTCTTTCCCTCAATTGTAATGTATAAAATAAGGTGCAGAATTCCCATTTTCCGGGGCATTTTCTAATGTTACAGATTTTGTTTCCAGGCAATTATTGTCAGTTTGGCTCAAATAAACTGATAAAAATTCTTACGGGTTTGGGTGTTCCTTGTGTTGACAACTGTAATACAGCACAGCTCAGAGAGCAAGGCTGTGAAGTGGCCCAGGGTTTTTTTTTTTTGGGGGGGGGGCTCTATTCACCTCTCTCCACCCCAGTGCTCCTCCAACCAGAGGAGCAGACTGCGGCTGTGGCCCCAGAGCTGACTTCTATAGAGAGAAGTCCCAACCCCCACCCCTGATTGGTCTGTTCGCGTGTAAATGAGGATTCCAAATCCTTGCACTTTGGTTTGTCCAAAATCCACTCTCCTGATTGGTCAAAATGGAGCTGATTGGTGCTAATAAGGATGTACTTGTACAGCTCAAATTGGATGGGGGGAAGCTTCAGTTCTATTTAAAAGGACAAGAGCCACTTTCTCAGGCCCTCTTTCCCAGAGCTGGCTGGACCCCACAAGGCAGGACTGACCCTAATTGTTTTATGAGACTTTATCCGCAGGACTAGAAAATTGTTGGAAGTGCCCTGAAGGTGCAGAGGCTCCAGGAACCCCTGACGCAGGACATACCAGACCCCTGCGACCACTGGCCCCTGCTGTCCGGGGCCTCTTCTATAAGGGTGCTGATCCCATTCCCGTGGGCTCCACCCTTGGGACCTGATCGTCTCCCAGAGGCTTCACCTCTGAATGTCATCATCACCTGGGGGAATCACACGTGAATTTGAGGGAAACAAACCTTCATTCCGCAGCCGGAGGGTCTTGGAAAGGGCGGCAGGAAGGAGGACCGCAGGTAGCTCGGCGGCTCGCATGCTCCCAGGCCTCTCAGCTCCGAGAGAGAGTACCCAGGGAGCCTCAGCAGCTGCAAAAGAGTGCCCATCGCTGAAAGGCTGCTCCCACCCCCAAGGTTTCTTTCTCACTTGTATCATAGGTCGAAGAGCCTCCTATTTAACCCTGTGTGCACAGCTCAGGGTGTCCAGCAGGTGGCGCTGCGACCCGCGTTTTCTTGGGTAAAGGACCCTGCCCTTGGCTCCGCAGGGGCCAATCTGATCTTGGTTTAAGGAGCTAAGTCAACAGATTTCTCTTCCTCCCTGCTGACATTTGGGGAACAGGGCACTCTGAGAGAAAAAGGGGGAAGCGGTATGACACTGGCGGACTTGAGGTTGGTTGCTTCAGAAGCAGAAGTGATGTGACTCATGCTGAGGATTTAAGAAATACAAGGGTAATGAAAGCTACTATTGATTACCCTTCCACTCATAAACCATTAGATCATGCTTCCAACTCCCATCGTCTTCAGCCCCCTCAGGAGTCATGGAGGGTGGTCTCCAGAATCCGACTCAGTTCCGTTTAACCAAGCTTAACTTGGCACTCACACCACGGGCGCCCGGGTCACCCGGGAAAAAAGAATTTCTCGGGGCACAGCGGCTGCTTTGGAGAGCTCTCCGGGATCCAGGCACAGAGACCGCACAGGGGACTGATGAGACGACCCCTGCGGAGCAGGGAGAAAGCAGAGATTGGGTGGGGAGGGCACAAGGGCAGGTGGCCTCCTGTGTCCTCGGCCCCTAGTGGCCTGTGACGTCCAGTAGCACCCCCCCAACATCCCCACGCAGGACCTCGGTGTGACCCGCGGGCCCGGTGTGGCACAGCAGCGCTATGGGCCCTGGTCGGCCAGCAGAACCCAAACTTGACACCATACACCCACATCCGCCCTTCCCCTCCCCGCCCGTACCCGCCGTCCTACCCGCTGCTTCCCCAAGTTTGACCGTTTTAGATTCCGCCCATACTTGGAGTCACTAAGCATTAGTCCACGGGCTCCCAGCTCCTGAACTCCACCTCCTGTCCTCCCGGTCTGTCCACGTTGTCGCGTGCGATGGGCTTCCACTGTGTGCATACACCACTTTTCCCTGATCTATCGGTCTGTCAATGGACATTTAGGTTTGCCTCAAACAATTAAATTAGGACTACTGTGTGGTCCGGCCACCTCTCTCCTGGGGGCTTGTTTACCCAAAGGAACTGGAATCCGGGCCTTGAAGAGATGGCAGTGTGCCCAGGCTCACCGCAGCGTCATTCACCATGGCTGAGGTGTGGGAAGAATCCAAAAGTGTATTTTAATGATGGCTTGGCATTTTTAAGCACAGACGTCACAAAGTCCTGCCTTCTTGGTACGTCAGAGAAAAACGTTAACTCCTTGTTCAAGAGAGAGAAGCTGTGATGCCTCATGTGTACACACAGTAGCATTTGAGAAAGCAAAAGCTTCAAAGTCGTGCAGGGCCCTGCCAAGTGGGAGCAAGCTTCGCAGAGTGTGTAGGGATGCAGTGGAGGGGCTAGGGAGGGCCGGCGGGGCCAGCCACAGCCCAGGAGGGGGCGCTGAGGCCCCGGCGCTCTTGGCCACACTATGCCCTCTGCCCAGATGGCTCGGACCAGGATGGGGCACATGGGCTACCAAGTTCACGTGCACGCATTCCTTTGTTATCACAATAACTGGAGTAAAAATGATTCATCTTTCATGTTAGGCTTTCGCATCTAGTGCACTGTCATAACCTGTGTGAACTTCCACACCATTGTAAGAATTTCAAACCGACCTTGTGGCTTTGCTACCAGTCAGGCTAATTGGGGTTTGTCATGTTCTACAAGGTGGCAGGTTGGCAGGACTCACCCGTCAGCGATCTGGGTCTAGATCACCTCTTTTTCCTGGGAGAATACCAATACTCGTTCCTCAATACCTTTAAAAATATCCAAATACCTAAGGTTTGTGTTGATTGATGAATTAAAAAAACTTGATGATGTTTAAGTCCACTCCCCATCTTGCACTGATTATTCAGAAAGGAACCAAATGCTGAATTAAATTAAAAGACTACACTAGTGGCAGGTTACTTCTGATTTAAAAGAAAGGATATAAAATATAACAAAATGATGTGTGCCACCACAGATTATGCCCACTACCAGTAACTCACAGTAGATTTCTGCCCCGGCAACCCCAGCTGATTTCGTATCTGCAGTTTCTGCATCTTCACCTCTGTCTAAACCAGTGTAGTTTATTCTAACGCACTTCCGGATGGTTACAAAGCAAGGGATCGGTTTCCCTTTTTTTGATAGACTCTCTAGTTACTTTCACCTTCTTACTTGAGAAGGGAAGTCTATATGTGAGGATTTTAAAAAATTCATCATTTGAATTTTAAATGGACTTTCATTGGCAGTTTGAAACTATTTTCCCAGCTCGTTTATCGTGTGAAAGAAAAAAGAAGAACACGCATCCTGTTTCAGAACGTGAACGACTTGCGAGTTCTTGGCTCAGCAAAGGGGAACTGAGACCGTCTGACGTTCCAGCGATTGTCATAGTCCCGTGCATCGGAGGTGACGGTGATTTGACCCAAAACTGGGGGACCAGGAGAAATGGGCGAAACCCACCACAGACATCTGTGGGCTGTGCACTCCCCCCACAGAATCTGCAAATACACACCGACACCCCCAGTGTCCCCTTGGAGCATGGCAGCGTAACCCGTGCCCAGGGAAATGTTCACTTACACGACGGAATTTCCTGTTCGCATTTGCATGTTTGGCACTTCAGTGACCCGAGTGAGATTTGCAAGCAGTGGTTGGCTTCTCTGCTTTGTTTTCAGTTAGTCTGAGTTAAATCACTGTGTCCCCTTCCCTGGGCCCATTTACTGTGACATCTTAGATCTAACTGTGAAACAAAGGCCATGTTGACAAATTCCAGGCATCAAATATGAGTTCAAGTTTTTTCTCTCCATATATGTATATATATATACACACACACTCATGCACATTTGAGACTGTTGTGGGGGGTGGATTTTTGTAAATAATTTATTGACATGTACACTCCTAGGCCTGTAAGTCCTGGAGGCTGATGGGGGCGGGGAGTAGGGGGGACAGGCTGACCCCCTTGCCTCCTGCAGCTTCCGGGGACCCCAGGCGATCCCCTGCATGCCTTTCCTGCCACGGCCTAAAGCTGTGCCACTCCAGTCTCTGCCTCTGTCTTCAGGTGGCCTGGTCCCTGCGTCCCCTCTTCGGCTCAATGGACTTAGGTCCATCCCTACTTCAGTAAGACCTCATCTTCTTTAATTACATCTGCAAATGAGGCTCTGCTCAGAGAATGCAGGTGGACAGAATTAGGAGTGACACTACTCGGCCCAGTGAGCACGCAGCGGGCATGCGCAGTGACCTGCAGCGGGCATGCGCAGAACCGCACACCTGCCTCCCCGTGCTCCAGGAGGCCGGTCCGGGAAACACCCAAAGACTCCCACCTGCTGCTGCTCACACCACTGTGGGAGCCACTCACTAATAACCACGGTCCAGAGCAGTTTAAGGCATTTACCGGTACTTTCACAAGGAAGAAGGGAAATAGAAAGAAGAAAATAGGGGGAAGTAGAGAGAAAGAAGGACCCAGTGGAGGAGGGACCCTGAGGCCGGGAGGGCCCAGCCAAGTCCACGGTCGTCGGCCTGGTTCTCAGAGCAACGCCGCGCCCCTGGCGGTGAGAGCAAGAATCGATGCACTGTGCCCATCAGCGGGTCCTGGAGCACCTGTGAAGATGAACAGCGCTGCAGGTGTTTTCCAGTGATTTTTCACTCAAATTGAACATCCTGTACAGAACATGTGTTCGGGAGGGCACCTACCACTCACCTGCTGAAAATGCGGACTGTCATCCGCACGCTAAAAATGTGATTAACGAATGTCCAAATAATGTCCAAAATGCTAGATTGTGTTCGTGGATTATAAGGTTTGACACCATGAAGGTGTCAGTTCTTTCCCACGTGACCTGCAGGTTTAATGCAGTTGCAAACAAGATCCCAGCAGGACTCCTTTGCAGATACAGACAATCTGACCAAACTCTTTAGGGAAAAACAAATGAATGAGAATCGTCAAGACAACTGCGAAAAAGAAGATTAAAGTTGAAGGAATCACATGTCCTGTTTTATTATTTGTTACAAAACAACAGTCTCGGAACAGTGTATACTGGCAAAGGAATGAGTGCATAGAAATGGAACAGGATAGAGTCTAGAAATCGACCCATGTAATATGCCAAGTGAGTTTTTGACAAAGGCAGAAAAGCAATTCAGAGGAAACCAGACTGTCTTCTTTGACAATGGGGTGAACACAATCGGATGTCCACATGCAGAAAGGGGATCCTCATCTTTAGTCTTTATTTAAAAATCAGCTCAAAGGGTGAAACCAGCTACCAGGAGAATGCAATGATGAGCTCCTCCCCAGGAGAAAGTGTCTACACCACACACCCAAAAAGGGACTTTTATTCAGAGCTCTCAACGTCAACAATAAGAAAATATTTTTTAAAAAATAGGCAAATGACTGGAACAGTCACTTCACTGAAGAGGATCTATGGAGGGCAAAGGAGCACAGAAAAGGTGTTCGACGTCATCAGATGTTAGAAAGTGCAGATTAAACCTCGGTGTGTCGTCCGTGAGCCTTAGGTGCCCCTTCGCACTGAAGTCATCTCAGATTGCCGAATCCGAGAAGTCAGGGAACGTGCTCCCTGGTAGGAAGGCCAGAGTAGCAGACTGCGTAAAACAGCGACTGCTCCGGAGGGCGCAGAGCAACCGGAGCCCTCGGCACTGCTGGTGGGGATGGGGAAGGGCACGGCCACTTTGGAAGACGGTTTGGCGGTTTCTAAGCTAAATAGTCCCATTCCTGGAGAAAAAAAAATGGTATATGTTCGCACAAACACCTGGGCGGGAGCATTCACAGCAGCCCTGCCCCCATCCCCCCAACTGGAAACAACTCCAATGTCTTCAGCAGGTGAATGTCGAAAACAACGCCGCATTCACAAACTGTGTGTCTCGATAACAGAAGTGATGCTGTGACAGCAACAGCTTGCGTGACTCTCAAAAGCATTACGTTCAGTGAAAGAAGCTGGTCTCAGGAATGTATGGTTCCACGTCTATGGCATTCTCAAGAGGGTGGAGCCCGGGAGAGGCATCTGTAGCGCTGGATTCCGCGATTCTCCTAAGGACTAAACTCAGTGAGGACCGGGGGGCGGGGCGGGGGAAAGCGTCCATGACAGGTCCGCATGAGGGGGTTTTGGTGACAGAACGGTCCTGCAGATATGGTTCTGTGAATCGGCACATGTAAAATTCATAGACCAGCACGTGTGCTCACACGGAAGCCGATTCCACCACATGCTAATAATTAAAAAGTGAAATTGTAGAAGCTAACATCAGTTGGAACACTGTGGGCGGTTGTCACGCACTTTAATCGACAGGCGTCAGTCAAAAGGCCCTCCTGAGAGTGGAGCTGCCCGACGCTCCCAATACCAGTTGCACTGCCTTCAGGTCACAGTTGAAATACCTGGTTCAGTTGCAGGAAAAACGAGCCGTGCAGGGACGGGACATAGAGGAGACACCTGACAAGGTGCTGGCTGGTACGACTTCCAAATCATATTGACGAGAGGTTAAAAAAATTAAAGACACAGGGTTGGAAGGATGAAAGTAAAACCATCAGTCCATGTGTGTTTGGGAAGCAGGGAGACTAGAAAACACACAGAAAACGGCCTCACCCCCACCCCAGTGCAGATGTTCTGGGCGGAGGCCGACCTGAGCCAAGAGAGAGAGAATTTGTGAGTGACCCCTGGAGCCCTAATGTTAAACAGGACTGGACACTGTCCGACCCAGAAGAGAGGCTGTTGTTTAGCGCCGGAAGCGACGAAGCTCCGAGAATGGCCAGAAATGTCAGGAGCCAGGAGTTCTGAAAATGAGACGTGTCATGGGGGAAAAGAGCACCCAGAATTTTCTGCTTCCCGATTGCGCTGCAACAAGACGGACTAGCTCATTTCGATGACGAGGTGCTCACCCTCTGATGGGACCGAAGCCACAGAGCCCTGGGGGAGGGCAGCCCGCTGCCAGCCCCCACCCCCATTCCCATAGTCACAGCCACACGCCTACTTCTGCCAGCGAGGCAGGAAGGGCAGGCAAGCTCCCCACGCAAAGTGAGCGAGGCAGGACCTGCCCTGCCCTTGCAGAATTCGCAGCCAGTGACGTCCAGGTGCACCCTGGGCTTGTGCACGGCCGAGCCACCTCTTCCCATTAAACGTGCAGCCTGTAAAAGGAAGGGGCCAAGTGCATTTGGCAGAAGGGTTGAGTGAATAAGGGAAGAAATGACAGAGTGAAAGAACTTGGCCGGGAGGCTGGAAAGGCAGCCCTGCAGCTGGAGGCAGCGGCGGGGGAAGTTGGAGAGGAGGATGCTTAGTGTGCAGGTCTGTGGCATGGAAGGCAACTTTCTAAATTTCTTGTTTTGGCTAGTTACTCGATTCCTCGTGCCGACTGGCATCGGCGGTGTGAGATTTTCTTCCTGAGTAGTCCTGCCCCTTGGCACAACAGGCAGAACGGGGCTGCCCGGGGTGCCCACTCGCGGAGGACTCTGTGGTCTGCACACGGGACAGAGCGGTGTCCAGCCTCAGAGATGGACGTGCTGACACGCCCTGCAACAGAGATGACCCTGGAGGACGAATGCTTGGTGACATGGACAGGGGGACTCGTGCTGTGTGATTCGCTTACGGGAGGCGCCTGCAGGAGCCAAACCCACAGAGACAGGGAGTGGAAGGGCGGCGGTCCTGGGGAAGGGGAGGCGGAGTTAGCGTTCGATGGGCGCAGCGCCTCGGGTTCCGGAGAGAAACCTTTCTGTAGGTGGGCGTGGCCATGGTTGCGCAACAACGTGAGTGTGAATGCCACTAAACCGTACACTTAAAACAGGTGAGATGGTGACTTTTCTGTGATATGTACTTTACCCCAATAAAAATGTTTTCACGTAGGGAGTCTTACAGCTTTGGGGCATGTATTTTGTTACTAAAAATGAGTATGACAAAGAAAAGAGGTGTGAGCAGCATCAATCTGATTAGGAGCCACGCTCACAGTTCACCCGTATCTCCTTTTCTCCCCCTCCGCTCGGCTTCAGGGCCAAAATTATCCAGGAAACGCACCAAAGTGCCTACCGATTTGGAAGTCGTCCCGGGTCCCCTCCCTGCCCTTCGTACTGTCCTGCTCAGTTCTGTGAAAGTCGTGCCCAGCCGCGGGGAGTGGAGAGGAGGCCCTAAGCTACGAGCCAGCCCCTGGTCTCTCTGCTGTGTGTGCAGCGGCGGGATCCGAGGGGGCACGGGGAGGGTGCGCTCTGGGTGGGGGGCAGTGCTGTGATTCTGTCGCCAGCCGCTCCTGGCCGGCTCCCGTTCCCTTGCCCTCTGTGCCTTTCCCGAGGGAGCACGTGGTCTGTACGGCAGCCTCGGGCAGCTCTCTCTGTGGGGTCGGAAGCTCCAGGCTGTTGCGAGTGGAGGAGCTGGCAGGACCCTCTTCCCTCGATGGGAGAACTGCCCAGGGCAGCAGGGTGACTCGAAATTCAGGAGGCAGGGGTCCCTGCTGGTGCCTCAGGAAGTGTCCACTGTAGTAGGGACCCGTTATGTAAAACCCGGACACCCAGGTCAGCTGTCCGGCCGGTGTCCAGGTGGTGGTGGGTGGGGAGAGGGAGACGGTCAGGTGGGACCCCAGGAGCGGCACTGGAGGGGATGAGGGGCCGCCAGGAAGGAAGGAGGACTCAGGGGCTCGTGGGACAGGCAGGGAGGGATGCCACCTGCGGAGGCAGATGGGTGGCTTGTGCAGGAGATGGCGGAAGTGACACCAGAGGGGAGCAAGTCACAGAGTCACCACGTGACCCTGCAGCTGCAGCACTTCCGTCTGCTTCCTGGTCCAAGAAAGTAGCTCAGAGCTCCAGAGAGGTGGGACCAGAGGTGGCCTTTGGGGACAGGAAAGGACAGTGACCCAGGGCCCCACACAGGAATTGCTAACAGTACCTACAGCAAGACCCTTGGTGCCCAAAGCACAAACAGAACGGGGCGCTGTTCCCAAACAGAGTCAGCATAGGAGTGGTGCCCACTCGAAAAATAAAAATCCAGTGTGGGGTGTGTGAGGGGCAGGCCTGGGGCTGGGCCCCGGCTTCCGGACCAGGAGGTCACTCAGTGGATTACGACGCTGTCGGTGGGTTGAAGGGCTCCCAGGGGTGGGCTGAGTGGGGGGGGGAAAGGCGCCTGCAGTCGGGACGAAGGAGACGCCCTGGGAGGGGCGGGGCTCAGGTGGCACAGCCTCTTCTGTGTGACGTCAACTCAGTCTCTCCACTCACCAGGCCTCGGCTACGTCCCCTGCATGTGGAGACCACAATTAATGGGATGAGGGGACACTGGCTCCTTCTCACGTGCTGACATCGAATAACCCTGGGTTGGGAGAACCTAATTCCAGGGCTATCAGCAGTTTTAGGACTTCTTTGGGCGAAGCGGCCGTACCCAAGGTACTGAGGCTCCTGGGACTTTATGGACCAGCTACGCTCACGGGAGAGCCCAGAGCCTTCTCCTTTCGCAGTTGGTGGAGAGGCCCCCACGGTCTGACCCGACGCCACGTTGAGGGAGCAGCTGGGGCCGTGGGCGGTTTCGGGCTCTCTTTACCGTGGAGCACTTGTCTGCAGATTTGCCAAAAAGGAAATAAATTGTGGAGTGTCACCCTTTCCTAAGGGCCCCTGCGTTTTCATGATGCATGCTTTTTCCCTGCAAGGGGTTTCCCTGGGGACAGCAAAGGCTCAGGAGGCGTCCTCCCCATTGCGCGCGAGAAGCTTGAGAGTGTCGTGTGCACGCCAGACAAAGAGGGCGCAGGGCAGAGGGACCTGGACCGACCTCCTGGGGGTGGCTGCTCCCATCTCTCCACGAGCACAGGGGGGACAACCCAACAGGCAGCTGCGTCTGGACCTGAAATGGAAATCCAAGCAGGGACGCCCACAAGGTTAGAAATTTCCTACAGTCGTCCTCCAGCTGGGGAAGGCCTGGAAACCCCAGAGGCTTGTGCACGAGAGCCAGCCCTGTAGGAACACGGTGATTCCTTTCGTGCAAAGATTTCTGGCCAAAACTGAACACTCAGAAGAGGCTGCAGCGAGGAGACAGGAAAGGAGGGCCCCTCCTACAACGAACCGTCTCCGTGGCCACACACATTCGGGTCGCTCCACCCAGCTCGTTGCCGCTGTCACTGGTGCTGTGAAGACGCCCTGATGCCCAGCTCTGCCTGGGGCCTTTGAGGATGCTTAATTCTCCTAAATCAGGGCCCACCGCTGACGGAGCTTCACACACGGACGACTGGGGCAGTACCCGCAAAGTTGCAGAGGGAGCCAGGCTGCGTCTACTTGTGTGTTTGTGTGTGTGTGTGTTTGAACCACTCTACACTCCTGTCTGCTGTGCTCTTGGTTTTAAAGCCCGGGCCTGTGGTGGCAAAGGGCACCCAGCAGCGCCTGCACCCAGACGCCCACCTGGGCTGGCCCCAGACTAGGAAACAACTTCCTGCTCTCCAAGCCGCACTCCCCTTTATAAATAGAGCTGATCTCGCGTGAGACAGGAGCCAGGTGAGCACCTGGATGACGTGGAACCTGAGTGACGGGGTGGCCGACCTTTCTGAGGTGTGCTGTGTGTTTCAGGGGAGACGGGGTTTTTTCGTTGTTTTGTTTGAGTGGGGCGGCAAGTTTGGCGCTCCCTCGTTTTCTCCAGGCTTACCCTCCCTCGGCCCTCAGCCCCATAATGGAGAGGGAGTCAGAAACACGCCTCCCTCCCGAAGGTGGCCCCCCCTTTCCTGCCCTGCCATGGTCCTGCAAGTGCTGCAGCCGCAGCTGGGTGGGCCACCGAGACCCCTGCATGAAAGCTAAGCCGGAGTGCAACTCTGGCTCCCCACGACTTTTGCAAATGGTGGGTGGTGCTGACACACTTCTGAAACTCTCCCGGCCCTTGGCAGATCACACCCATCAGTGATGGCAGTGTGTCTGTGACAGGTCACAACCTGATCTCACTCCTGGGGTGGGCGGCTCCAACCTCGAGACAGGAGTTATGCTGTCAAACCAAGAAGCAGGTGAGGGGCTTCTCCGCCGTCTCCCTACTAACAGCTGGAGTGCAAAAGGTCGTGTCCTTCTCTGTGACTAGATAAGGACATTCCCCCAGTCGCCCTGCTGGGTGCTGAGAACATTGTGTGAGCTCATGTGTGGAACATGTTAGGTACATACAAGCACAGGTGTGTTTGCTGATGTCCGAGTCTTTGTAGGAAGAAAAATAGTCTTACGAGCTCAAAGTGTGCAGAGACGTGGCAGAAGCAAGCGCCAAGAAACCTATTTATCTGGTAGAATCAGGGTCAGAAAACTACGGAATTGTACATTTCTTCCAGTAATGGCCCGTAAGCAAAACATTCATATTCTCTTCTCAGAGACAAGTTCAACTGTCGATACAGGAGTTCAGAACCTAGAGGATCTGTTCAAACGTATATTCGTCACCCTGTGATGTGTCTGCCTTGTTCAATTTAGCCTCAGGAAATCAGAGAGAAATATTTATGGATTAAAAGAAAAAGTCTCAAGAAAGACCCTGCAGGGTGCTCACAGCTCTCTGATCTTCTGGAGGAAGGGCCGACTACCTCTTTCCCTCATTTCTTCAAGCAGGTGTTGAAGGGCGTCCTTGGGATGGGACAGCAGAAAGGATGCTGGGATCGGAAGGTAAAGTCAGACGGAGTCTGGACGGACGGGAGCAATTGGAGACAAACACAGTTGGGGCTGCGTGCTCAATTACAGCAAGCAAGCCCCAACCACGGGGTATGGTACGAGTGCCGAGCTCTGTCCTGGTGGGGGCCTGAGACCTGGGCATGGGGCGTGCGTCCGGGGCTCAGACACAGGGTGCCCTTGTCTGCTCACAGGACATCTGCCCACATTTCCATCTCTTTCCAAACCAAGGGAAGCCGCCTTGGGAATTGCTGTGTGAACTTAGCCTGGCGGGAGGGATGGTGGCGCTCTGCCATTTCCAATAGCGTGACTTCAGTTTTTGACATCTGGGTCAAGGTATAGCTCCTGGATTTCATGGGATTTTTAGAGTCAAAGCCAATTAAAATCAACCTGTATAAAAGCCAGCCGGGGCCCCTCTCCTGGCTCTGCCCCTACCTGCAGCCCGCCCTGCAGCCCCTCCCGGGCCCCACCAGCTGCTATCGGCTCCAGGGAGATGAGACCCAACCCCCTCCTCCTTGTTCATGAAGCCAAAGTTTGGGGTTGGGTGTTAACATAATGACTTATTTGCTTACCTTTTTGCTGCTCTAGGGAAGTATCTTTAGTCCCATCTGGCCTACAGAACACCTCTGTCTGAACCCCCCTAAGCCCCCTTTGGACAGGTCATTTAAAAGGCTTCCTCCAGGGGTGCCTCCCACCCCACCCCCAGGCAAAGGGCTGGGTGGGCTGAGCTCTGGGGGGCTTCGTGCCGAGAGCGCGCATCCCAAGCAGCAGGAAGGTGGCCCGCGCAGGCTGCCTTCCCCGGTCTGCTTCCGGCTCTAGAGCGCACTGGGACTTCGGTGCTAAACCACACCGAATCCTCGAAGGATCTCTTCACTGGGGCTCCCAGGGTCTCTTCTTCCATATATTTTCCTTTGTAAAAGGCCAAAAGTAGTGTGATTATTCACACATTAAAAATTTACAAAAGTAAGGCTTACCTTCCAAGTCCTAACTTTGATTTCAAGTGCTGCTTTCCCCTGTGAGTTGTATTCTTAGGTTTGAAACCACGTGATAACACTTCTTCATCTCATCCTCCTTCCTGCTCCTGCCCCTCCACCCCTGACAATTTTGGGGGAAGGGGGTGGAACACCTTTACGCTATCAAGTCAGGGTTTGAAAACAGTGCCCTGAGATGCCCACAACTATTTAGAAATGAGATGACCACGTTGGTACAGCCCACCCAGGAAAATATTCCCGGGGGGAGCCTGGGGTTGGGGCTGGGTGTGCCCTGGGTGTGGGAGCCTGGGCATATGGGAAGGGACAGGCGTTCGTTACTGCTGTTGACTGAGTGCTCCCCAAATCCCAAGTGCCTGTGGCATTAGGGTCACCTGCGGTATGCCCAGAGTGCTCCTTAGGGTGACGTTTCACAGTTCCTGGAGACCTCTGCCACAGAGTCACACGGCAGGACAGACAAGGTGGGGAAGCTGGTGCCCTGGAAGAATGACAGCCTGCTTCCTCGGGGCCAGAGAAATTCCAGTGGTCCCCACACTCAAGACCAGATATGTGACACTCAGGTCCAGTGCAAGCAGGGGTGTGGGGACCCCACCCCCCTGCTGGTACCTGAGAGGCCCAGAGTAAGATGCCGGTGGAGCCCTGGGGTGGCGCGTTCAGAGCCCCTGGGCTGCCTCAGCCCCGCCACCCCACCCACCGGGGCTCTTTCTCTGGGAGACCCTCTTTCAGAGAGGGAGGGAGGAGCAGCTTGCTGGCCTGGGGAAGGGATGGCTGTCAAGAACCAGCTCTGCCCTTGGAGCTGCCTGCCTGCCTTACCAGAGGGCCACGACGGAGCACTGATGCTTGCTCCTGAGACGATGTTACAAAGAGACCTAAACGCAGATTTAGACACATTTAGGGAGCGCTTCCTCCTCACCAGGAGGAAACAGCCGTTTAAAGAGCCCTTCACTTTTTGCCCCTGCAAAGGACGCCCTGGAGTTTCGGGCAGCCTGGGCTGGAGTGGGAGGGGGGCCCTGGATTCAGGAGGATGCCTGGGGTGGGAAAGACGGGTGGCAGTGACCACAATGTCCCAGACCATCCTGTCTGGGGACCCCCAACTCCACTCACGCTGGCAGGAGGTCTCACCTGGGGCTCCTCCCAAGCCAGGTGATGCAGAGGAGGAAGGGATGTAGCAGAGGCAAATGGGGGAGGGGGCATACAGCAGCCAGGGGTCTACATTTGGAACATTAAAAGCAGCCCAGAGGAGGTGGGGATGAGGGGTGTCTTGAGTCTTGTCTGAATCGAAGATGTGTTGATGGAGGAGCCAGGAGCTAGACCAGGGAGTTTGCATCTATGCGGATTCTGTTTAAGAGAGGAGCTGGCCTTGGGGGAAAAGGTGAAAAAAAAGTGGAAAGGGTGCCCGGGTGCAGCGGCGAAGCAGGGCGTCCAGGGTGCGCCAACCAGGAGTGGCCAGCGCACACTCGCTTTCCCGGGTGCCCCGGCAGACGCCCCCACCCACCGCAGGACTCACCGAGCAGGGTATCCAGCCGCGGCCTCCCCTCCCCTTGCGTGGCCTCTCCCCCGCGCCCCCTCCCCCGCTGAGCCCGCGGCAGTGCAGCCACGACACCGGCTCAGGGCACAGGCGGCTGAGTGGGTGGCGGGCGGGACGGCCATGGCGCGGGCTGCAGGCGCGCGGGGCTGCGGGAGGCGCTGGCGGTGCGGGCGGGGCGCGCTGGTGGCCTGTGCCGCCTGGACCGCGGGCTGGGTGTTGGCCGCTGCGCTGCTGCTCCGCGCGCACCCGGGCGCCCTCTCGGAGCGCTGCACGGACGAGAAGAGCCGGCGCATCCTGGCCGCACTGGTAGGTCCCGCTGCCGCCCTGCCCTGCGGCGCGCACCCGGGCGATGGGGGTGGGGGCCCCGTGCGTGGAATGCCGGACGCGCGCATCCCTGTCCCCGGGACCGGCACTATGCCCGGGGAGTCCTCTGGGGGCGCGGGGGTGTCTCTCCCCCGTTGCCAAAACTGGCCCTTTGTCCCAAGAGTCTTCCTGCCCGACTGCTCTCCCACCATCTCTGAGCCGCGCTGCTGAAGAAAGTTTGTGGGTTGGCGCAGAGTCTTCCGACAGTCTCCCGGTGGCCGCACCCCGGGCGGGCCCGCCGGGTTGGGGCGCTTGGCCAGGATGCGGGCCAGGAAGCCTCTCGGGGCCCCATTCTCTCCTTCAGGCTCCGGTCTGCGATTCCACGCCCAGCCCGATGCACAACTGCCAGGGTCCTGTCCGCTGGACCCCAGGCAGAGCGCGCGCCTCCCCGGAGCCCTGAGGACCCTGGTCCGGGAGTAGGGACCGCAGTCTCGGTTCCTCCACGGGAGGGCCCGGCCGGACCGCCGCTCAGCTGGGCCGGGAGGAAGAAACGCCGCACTGGGTCCCAGAGTCTGGTCAGCTGCTTCCCCGCGTTGGCCGCTCCTCAATCTCAGTTTGGTTCGGAAGATTATGCGCATTTGGGAGACTTGCGCAAAGGTGGACGTTGGGGAAAGGAAAGCCAGGAAAGTCAGAGAGAGCGGCTGCTGCTGTTGCGGGGATTTTCAAAGAGTTTATTCACTTCCCTGAACAGCGGGTGTCTATGCGTGTGGTGTGAAAAGTGATCTATTTTCTAAGAAATCTTCAAGAAACGCCTGGGATGTTTTTGGTCCAATTGCTTACATATTGTAGGTTATCAAAATGGGATAGCATAAAGGTTTTCAAGTAAATGATTGTTTTTTTTTTAATTTAAAAAATGTGATGGGAAAAATTTACGTAATAATGAGTGAAAGGTACAAGCTAAAACAAATCATATTTCCTAATTGAGTCTGACATAATGAACTGATCCCAACGCAAGTGAGACACTTGTCACGGACCTTCCGTCCTACCTACCACCTACCGTCCACCCCCCACCCATACACTGAAGCTCAGTCAAGTTTTCTTCAAGTTAGGTGAGCCTGTTGATTTTCTCAGTAACCATCTAAAAAATTCCTTTCAACTGATGGACTATTTACAGTGAACAAAGATTCCTAGCTTGGGCAGGATGGAATACTTCTCTTTACAAAAATAATATAACAATCTTGCAGAAATCAAAAAAATGGATTTCATTTTTCATTTACTTACCTTTGGTTGAATGGGGAGAGGCCAAATGGAAATAAAATTAGCCTCATATAATTTAAGTAATTGCACCTCATAACTTTCCCAGCATTTCAGCTGGTGAATGTAAACCAATTCTGATCAGAGGTTCCACCAATGTATCTCCAATGGCAGCCAGATGGGGTTGTTTCAAGACTGACAAAAAGCCAAACAGATTGGCCCTACTTCTGGAGGCCTCTCTCTCTCCTGTTGCCAAAAGAATGGTTTGGGATACCAAGTCTGTCTTCCTCAAGTTCATTGCCGTTGTCTCAGTGAACTGACTTTTTGGGGTGCGCTGTCTGGGCGCCTTGTTGGAGGCCGTGGTCCCTCGCACGTGCTCAGGACCTGGCTGTCTCCCCCTCTTCCCACCTCATCCCTTTCTCCTTCCTCCCTGCCCCCCTCCTGACGCGCTGAGGTGAGCCCCACGCAGCACCCTGGCCCCCTGTTCCCCAGGACTCCCCGCACTAGCACGAGGTCTGAATTTGCCCCCAGGCTGCAGACCCGGATTTCTGGGCCCTGGCCGCATGCAGAAGCTGGCACGGTGGCCTCCCGGGCTCAGGCTGAATCGAGCTTCTGTCTCTGGTCTCCCAAGCACTTTCAGTTCACTCTGCCTGGCTTTTATCCTCAATAATGAAGCTGCTGTGAGTCTTCTGAACGGCCTCCAGACTCTCATTAGCTTTCCCTCTGGGTACCAGAGCTGCGCTGAGCCGCAGGGAGCCCGCCACCCCCTAACCCCACCCTCACTTGCTCAAAGACAGCAGAGCTGTGGGCAAGGCCCAGCATGTTCAGAGCACACTACCTGCTCTCCACCTCCCCCCCCCCCGCCATGCACAGGGGCATCCCCAGCCTGCTGGGGGCCTCGCCAGAGCAGAGGAGGTGGGCTTGGGGCTCGCATGAGGCCTAGAGGACTGGGAGCTAGGCCTTCTGCGAGCCCCAAGCCCACCCACCTCCTGAGGGAGCCCATGGACTTGTTCCAGAGAGTTGAGCCCTGGGTCTGAGGGCTTTGGATTTTTCTCATCGGACTGCGATGCTCTCTTCCCTGCATCCTTTCAGCACACCCAGTAGCCCAGACGTCCCCGTGTCCTCTTTGTCCTTGCTGTGGCGTTTCTTCTGCCCAGCCGTTCCGGAGAGCAGGGCCCGTAGGCTCCGGCTGTCGGGCCGGCCGAGGAGCCGCCTCTGTTCTGCGGCCGGGCCCCCCACGCAGAGGCAGGGCCGAGGTGCTCGGCTGCCTTGCTAGGCAGGCACCGCACTCAGCCGCTTCCCACGTGTCCTTTCGTTTACTCGCCTCATCAACCCTGGGGAGGCGTGTGCATCGACCGCCCCATTTCACAGATGCAGAAACCGAGCCCTCACTCACACAGCGTGTGGGGAGCCAGGGTGAACCCTGCGCTGTCTGGTGGTACTCACCCCAGAGAGCAAGTGGCTCCTTCGATGACGAGAACCATCAGGAACAGCGGGGTACACTTCACCCTCCTCCGCACATCACTGTCAAAGCATCTCAAGAGATTCCCAAGGGCCCTGTTATCCAGAGGCCGAATCCTCGTTCGGCTGGTGCGGCTCCATGTGATTGCATGTGGTTATCTGCATTCCGGGTTCCTCCGAGTCGGCACCGGCTTATCTGTCTTTGCTGTGACGGGGACCTCTGGTCCCAGAGGGACTACGGCACTCAGGGCACATACCCAGAAAGGCATGAGAGCAGAGGACGGCTCCACTCTCCCATTTGCTTTGGCTGTGTTTGTAATGTCCAAGGGCCAGGGGGGTCCAACCGCGGCCCAGGATGGCTGTGGACATGGCCCGACACAAAGTCATAAATTTACCTAAAATGTGATGAGATTATTTCATGATGATGTGTCACCATGTATGTAATGTGTGGCCCAAGACAACTCTTCTTCTTCCAGTATGGCCCAGAGACACCAAGAGGTTGGACACCCCTGAAAGCCATCTGTCCAGGGTCCCCCCGGGGGACGGGCCACTTGCTCCATGACTCTGCACTGCACAGGGTTGCTGCTGGGCAAGCAACCCCATCGTGTGACAGGACGGGTTCTAACCATGTGAGGACTCACACTCCTCAACAACAAAAGCAAACACACGGAAGAAAACTCAGACCTTGGGTGTGACCTCTGAGACTCTTGTCCTCCGGTGCCCAGACTGGAGTGGATGGGTTTTGTTTTCACCCGAGGAGCGCGATACAGGGCGAAGAGGCTCTGAGCGGCAACCACCGAGGACGCTCCCGGAGAGCTGGGCGTGTGGACAGCGAGCATTGGCCGGTGCGCCCACAGCCTGCGGGGAGCAGGAACGTACCCGGAGTCCAAGTGATTGGAAAAGGCCGCCTGAGTCCCACGAGCCCCCTTTACACCTGGGGATGTTACGGGCACACGCATTTGGGCACAGAAACGTGTGTGTCTCCCAACAGGCACTTAGGACCACCTCACAGTCAGAGGAAGCTGACTTTAACAATGGAATTCAAGTCCGTAAAACCACTTTTTTGTTGTTAAAAATAGCTCCTTTTCAATAAGGCCTGCTGCTAACATAATTTCACAAATGTCTCTAACATGACAATAATTATTAATTAGTTTGCAACCTCATGACTTATGCTTTGGCTTTGTTCACACGCTGGCTGAAGCGCTTCTCTGTGTGTAGTGGGGACAGACACCAGGAGACCCCGAGGCTCTCACACTGGGGACCGGGACAGCCGGGGCCGACCGAACTCACACTCGTTTGTGTCCTGCATGCGTAAGAGGTGTAGGAACCGAAATGCCAACAATCCTCCACCCCAAAGAGTGACGACAAAGAACAGCTGTGCAGTAACTGCACTGTGGGTGCTCAGCTCTAACGCAAGCAGTCTCCTCTGATGAAGGAGGTCTCGGAGCCCCAAAAGTCGATCACAGACCTCAGAGCTCGCCTGGGCGCCTCGCTCTACCTGCTGTCCTTTCTGAGGCCTGACACCTCGTCCCCGATGCCTTAACGAGCTGATCTTCAGAAAACAGCCAACTTGAATGTTCCCCTCCAAAGTCAATAGGTTGTGTGCCAAGTTCAAAGAGTAGACCATTGTTCGAAATATCTTGCAACTCCTGTTGGGAATTGCCTTCCAAATTTGCAGGGGCAAGTCTTGTATAGGTTTCAGTTTGACTTGGGTTTGATTTCAGTCCAGCTTTGCAGGGAGGCCGTGCTACGGCCCGAAGGAGGGGCGGGGGTGAGCGAGTGACTCGGTGAGAGCCTGGGGCAGAGGAGCACCCCCACCGGCCGGTGGCCCTGACCGCTGCCCGGCAGGAAGCAGTCGTACCGGGCAGAGACGTAGGAAACGCACTTTTGATCGAACTTCCTGGTCCGTCACTCACAGGCCTGTGGTCTGACCTTGCTCTCCACCCTCTGAAGTGGCCTGGTTCTTCGACTGCCCCTCCTGGCTCTGCAACTCCGGCCATCGCACAGGCCAAGTTCGTTGCGACGGAGCTGCCCTCGACCCCGTTGTCCATGAGGCAGACTTGCGATTTGTCTTTTAAAACTGAGCTTGGATGCATCTGTCCCGGACCAAGCCTCCCTGGCCTTCTGCTTCTGATTGCCCAGGGCTGGTCAAAAAACTAGCCTTCTCTGAGATGACCAGTCCTCTGCACCCGTGACCTTGGCTGACCTTCACAGGTCTCCCTTTGAAAACAAGCCTCACACCTGGTGGGGGGCAGAGCCCGAGGGCAAACCCAGTCTTCCGCACATCGCAGCTGGCCAAGCTCCTGCCTGGCCCATGTCATACCCCACTGTCATTTATGAGGTTCAAAGGCAGCCACCTCTGTTCTGTGATCTCTGGGGCCCAGTCCCTGTAGTTGGGGTGCAGCTCTGCTCGTGTAGAGCTGGGCGTGTTCATCGGAAGGTGGCCAGGCGTGGCTGGGACAGGTGAGCCCTGCCTGTGGCCATTCCTCCAGTGGGTCTGTTGTCAGGGCCTGGCTGGACTGTCTTCTTAGGGACAGCATCAGTGTGGTGAGGGGGGTCACTGGTCTCCCCATGTGGCACCTGTCAGAAGGGCCCCCAAAGATGAGGAGAAATGCCCTCTCTGAGGGCTCCTGGGTGCCTTCCTCCCCAGCATCGGGAACCAAACACCTTCCCTGTGGATCCCTGACCCAGAAACCACAGCTGAGCCCACGTGGCTCCCCCCTTCTGACGTGCGTCCCTGGTGACGTCCTCTCTCTGGTCCTATGGACACCAGCAGCCGCGAGGCCTGTTCCAACTCCCCTTTCCTGCAGCCAGTTCTCTGAGCCCTGGGACCCTCCCGGAGCCTCCGTGTTCTGCCAGCATAAGGGCCAGGACTGTGGCCTCGGGCCCCGCCCCCCGAGATCTGACCTCGTGGCCCTCGAATGGGCTCACGAGCCCTCGGCAGCCCCGCCAGCTGGCCATGCCCTCTCACCAATAGGTGAGAAAACCGAAACCCAGGTGGCGAACCGCCTTCCCGGCATCAGCAGCTGGACAGATGGAGACCTCCTGCTCCCTCTGGGTGTTGATTCCGAGGCCCTGGCCCTGCGCACTCGCCGGGTTTCCATGGCTGCTGGACGCATCCTGAGTGCAGGGAGCAGCCCGGGCTCTTTGCCTGCCCCCATCTCCACTGTGTTGTGATCCTGTCCACTATTTCCTCCTTCCAGTGCCGAGACTACCGGGGCGGGGCGCTGGCAGGCGACCTCTGCGAGGACCTGTGTGTGGCGGGGAAGCTGCGGTACCAGCGCTGCCTCTACTACGACGGGGGCAAGAAGGTGCTGCAGGCGGACTGGCGTGGCCGCCCCATCATCCTCAAGTCCAAGGAGGAAGCCTTCTCCAGCTTCCAGCCGCCCGGCCTGCTGGGGTCCCCGGCCGAGGATGAGGGTCCGGCCTTGCAGGAGGCAGAACTGCTCCTGCTGGTGGCCGGGGAAGTCAGGAGCGCCCTGGGCCTGCAGCTGTCTGAGAGCAGCCTGGGGCCTCTGTGGCCAGGCCGCCGAGGCCCGCGGTGGCGGGGCCAGCTGGCCAGCCTGTGGTCCCTGGTGCAGCAGGAGGAGTTTGTCCTGCTCAGCGTGCTGCAGGGGCTCAGCCCACACGCCCTGCCCGTGCTGGGCTCCTGCGGCCACTTCTACGCTGTGGAGTACCTGGCAGCTGGCGGCGCCCACCACGGGGCCCTCTTCCCCCTGCACGGGGCCTCCCGGGGCCAGGCCCAGGCAGTCGGGGACATGGCACTCAGCTTCCTGGACCTGGTGAGGCAGTTCGACCATGGCTTCTCCCACCGCCTCCACCTCTGTGATGTGAAGCCCGAGAACTTCGCCATCAGGAGGGACCTCACGGTGAGTGCCCCTCGAGGCACGAGGGGGACTTTGTGGTCCAGTGGGGGGTCGAAAATGAGAGAATTTCTGAAATCCTGGGAAACACAGCAACACGATGCAGCCTTCTAGCCCACCCTGCCCGAGCTGCATTCATGAGAACTGAAAGGGCTCCTGCACCCTCACCCCACCCTGGGAAGGGGGACTGTGGTGACAGGCGGGGACAGCAGGGGCCTGGGCTGTGACCCGGCAGGACAGGTCCTCCCTGAGGCCTGTTCTGGTTTTTGCTACAAAGCCTGTCCTTGCTGAGAGCAGAAAGCAGTCCTTGGGGACCATGGGGAGGATGGCTTCTGGGGGCTTTGGGACAATGGCCCAGTTGGGGACACTGTCTTCAGACTGCGCAGGCCCCGTGACAACATGCAGTGTTTTCTGGCACTTCCTGGAGGTTCGCGTGAGCTTCTCTTCCTTGGGCGAGTCTCTGGAGGGACACCTAAACTTTGGGTGCCTTCCACAAGGGACAGACACGCCCAGTGGAGATGCGGGCCCCGCAGCGCTCGGTGCGGGGCAGGTGGGCCCCTCTCCGGGTCCCTCTGGGTCCCTCTCCGGCGTCCGAGGAGATGAGCAACTAAGGACGAGGAGCAGCGGCAGCAGGGGCTGCAGTGCCATCAGAAGGTCCCTCACCCCCAGCTGGGCCAAACCCAGGTGTCACAATAAGCGGCTGTCTTCCGCCCCAGGTGTCATTGCCTGGGGTCATCTCTGACACTGCAGGCCCTTGCAGGTGAAGGGCCAGGCCAGCTGGACTCCGGCCCCTCGGTGGGCTGGTCACTGAGGGGCCGGCTCACAACGGATGCTGCTCTTCACCGGGTGAGAACGTGGGGGACATACAGAGGTACTGTGACAGCCAGCCATGGCCCCACGGCAGGTGACGCAGGGATGTCCCCTTAAAGAAACAGTCTGAAGTCGTGTGAACCTGCCGTCCTGTCAAGTCCTGTCAAGAACGTTGCAGCATCTTGTCCAAACTGCTTTGTCCTGATGGCCTGTCCCTGGTGGTCCCCAAGGGGCTGATAAGCTGGGGGGTTTTCTTGAGGTTCCAGAGGGTTCTGGTGAGTTCCAGGAGGAGACCCAGGCAGACGACCTGGGAAGGGCAGGGAACCCTGGGCTCGTTAGCTTCTTTCCCGGAGCCGAGGTCCTGGCCGAGGCTGCCTGACCGACTGAGAGGGGACATCCTGTGCCAGACTCGAGGGGCCGCTGCTCTCCTCAGGGAAGTCCTGGGGACGCAGCCACTCTGAGGGCCCGGGAGAGGCGGGGTGGAGGGTTCACCCAGCGAGGGGCCAGTTCTCCCGGCATCAGATGCCCCACATTGGTCCAGGTGTCGGGGAAAGATGGCAGTGCAGGGGCCCGAGAGTCTGTCTGGGCTGGGTTTCCGGGAAAAGCTCCGGAGAGGAGGCGCTCCTGGGTCCGCCCGGCCGTGGTCCCCCTCAGGTGGGCCTGTCAGCATCTCCAGCAGAGCAGGTGCTGGACATCAGTTCGATGAATCGCTGTGTGGACGGACTGTTCCAGAAGCCCTCGGGCCCTGGCCCTGCCCGAGCGGGGGTGAGGGTGGGGTGCAAGCACAAGATTCCGCTGTGCTCACCCCCATTAGTGAGCTTCCTTCCAGGGCTGAGGCTCAAGGAGTTACCTTCACCTACAGTTTTACAACTTCTAAGTAAAAAGCAGCCCTTTCTGCACCAACAGAGAACCTGTTAGAAAAGCAGGTTCTCCGACTTTGCCCAAGGCCTCCAGAGTCAGAAACAAGGGTGGGATGTGGCGATGCACGTCTGGGAAGCAAGCCTCCAGGTGTTTCTGGCGCACCCCGGCTACGGGACGCAGGCGGGGCCTCTCCCAGGCCAGGTTGCCGTCTCCCGGGGGCAGGAGCAGGCGGAAGGAGCTGACAACTCAAAGCCGTTCACTCTCCGCAGGTCCCAATGTCCAGGTGTTGATGGTTTACCCCACACGCAAGCACAAAACGCCACTGCGTATGCCAGCAAGGGCTCCTTTCAAGCTGGCGACATGTCTCCTACCCTAGGGCCACACTTTCCAGGGGACATCCTTTCCAGGCCAGGATGAAGCCTTCAGGTGGCGTGGGTTGGGTCTGCCCACTGGGGAAGAGTTAGGACTGAGATGCAATTTAAGGTGCAGTTTACGAAGCCTCCTGCAGCTTCTCTGATCTGTTTTGTTGCCGTTCCTATTTTAGGTGCTTACCGTTCTGTACACAGTAGCTGTAACCCCGCCTCTGCCTTACGGAAAAATTAAAAAATAAATTTGGCTGTCCTGGGCGATGGGAAGGGAGCCAACAGAAGTGGTGGGGAGAGAAACTGCAAGGAGCCGAGGGTCCATCTGGGGGGCCCAAGGGCAGCTGGGGGCGTTGCCAGAAATTGTAGGAAAAAGAGAAGGGTCTTGCAGCTCCAATCATACACGGGAGAGCCAAAGAGCTCATTAGCATAACCTGGTCTTTTTTCAGTCTGTTAGCCAGTGCAAATAATGAAGTGAGCTATTTCTTTTGGCTAAATAATGAGACAGGAAAAACTGATTAAAATGATAATTTCTGTTTGCTGTGCCTGAATTAGTAATTGGGCAAAGCTCTTAACAAGTAAAAGCCTCCCTGTTTTGTTTTTCATTATTCTCTCTACATTTTGAAATAAATTATCTTCCCTCCTCCGTTTTACTGATTATTCCCCGAGAAACTTTCTTGCCTTTCGGCATCAGTCCTGAGTGAGACACCAAATCAGGGAACCCTTTCTTGGCGAGGCCGCGGAGCGGAGAAGGGAGGGGCGCGTTTCAGCGTTGACCTGAGAAGGCCTGTGCCCTGCCACCGACTGCCTCCAATCCATTGCGTCTTTTAATAGCTTTTTGATACCTTGAAGCTACGAACTGCTTGATTTGGGCCATCTCCAGGTTTCCTCAGGTTGGAGTTCATCTTTTTTCTTTTTTTAAATTCAGGCGATGAAGGGAAATCTGCATAATTTAGATATTATTCTTGTGGTTTTGACGCCTCTTGGTTCGAAGCCAAGAAGATAGAGCTGGAATTCAGGGGGTCGAGGTTCTCACGCTGAGGCAGGGATGCAGGGTCTGATGCGGCGTCAGGCTCCACATGCACCAGGCTGATGTCAAGGACGTCAGGGCTGCCATCTCCCCCCACGTGTCCCTCCAACCTGTCGGAGTCAAGGCAGTTGACCCTGGTGACAGAGACGCCGCCAGCAGGCGACTTAGATACCATCTGCCTCCTCCTCACCACTGCACCCGCCACCCTGCCTCTTGAATGTGGTTCCCTTCTGTTGCTTCAGTTCGTGTGGGTGGAGGACCTGATCTTCCGGCCCCCTGACCCTTGGGGGTCAGCCACCAAAGCCGGGAGGGAGGCAGTTCGTTCTGAAGACATTTCGGGGGTGCTCCGTGGAGAGCTGAGAAATGCCGGGAGGTGACAACGGACATTCCTGGAACAGGGTTCCAAGTCCTCGGCTTCCCCTGGTGACAGCCAAGGCCTTCCTTACAGCACAGTGTCACTGTCATCTGCCAGGGGAGTAAAGCCTCGTCTCCCCGATGGCCAGGCTCGGCCACCGGCTGCAGAGCCCTGGGAGCCCGCACGCCCGGGACCCCGGCTCGTGGGCAGGGGCAGAGCTCCCCGCAGCCTCCCCTCACTTACCTGTGCTGTTTGGTTACAGGTGGTGGCCATCGATGTGGACATGGCCTTTTTTGAGCCTAAAATGAGGGAGATTCTCGAGCAGAACTGCACGGGAGACACAGACTGCAGCTTCTTCGACTGTTTTTCCAGGTGCGACCTGCGCGTCAACAGGTGTGGCGCCCAGCGCGCCAACAGCAACCTGCAGGTGAGTGGCGGGGGCCGCTGCTGGGCGCCGGCCTTTGCTGGCTACTTCCCATGGCCACTGTCACCCACGCGAGCTCTGTCCTTGTGATGTGCCACCTGAGCTTCCCCACCTGCCCTGAGGCCAGAAGTGGCGTTTTCTACCTGACACACGGTGGCCTTGCCCCAGATGCAAGGTTTATCTGGGGGTCTGAGTCCCAGGTCATCTGCAGGACCCCCGACCCCAGAAGGCCCTTGGGGGAGGGATGGGAGCCCAGGTGAGGTCACTAAGGTCCGCCTTCTGGCTCGGGGCTCTCAGGGGGACTCCCTGCCCCGAGTTAACGACCCCCTGCCCTGCCCCAGGTGGTCTGTGACAAGATATTCCGACACTGGTTCTCCTCGACAATCAGGAGCTCCGCCGTCTCCGCCCGGCTTCAGTGGCAGCTGCGCGAGGCAGTGCAGGAGTGTGCAGACGCCAGCAGCCCACAGACAGCCGCTCCCACCATGTTGTGGAAGCTTCGGCGCCTTTTCCGGGCCGCGCTGCGGGAACTGCGGGAGGTGGAGGAGTAGCCACCGCTGGGCTGTCAAATGCCCGCTCAGGAGAGGTGGCGTCTGCCTGGTTCCAAAGAGGAGACATTTTCACTGTGCAAATGACCGTGGCCCTCCACGCAGGAGCCCGCCTCACGCTGTTCCCGTCGCACATCCGCAGTGGGCACCTGTGCCTCCTCCTCTCCGCTCCGACGTCCACCTCGCCCCCCTCGGATGGAGAGGCCATCCTGGCCTCCACCCGTCCCCCTTTTGAACAGGACACACAGGAGGTGGGCACAGAGGGTTTTGCTGGGAGGGCCCTTCGTTCTGAGCAGCGCAGTCCCAGCACGCAATTGCTCTGAAGAAGGCGCCTGTACTCAGAACAGACGTTTCCAGCTCCTCCCGCTGCAGATGCTTGCTGTGTAAAAATAGTGCACCTGAGTGCTACAGAGGTGTGTGTGCACATGTGTGGGCGCGAGGGCACACATTCATGCATGTACACACGTGTGAGCACACATGCCCGAGTGGGTGTAAGCTGGTGTGTGTGTGGAGGGTGAGCAGGTGAGTGTGTGAGGGTGAGTGTGACGTGTGTGAGCTGTGAGACAGGGGCGTCTTCGGGGACGGCTGGCCTGGCTGGCAGAGCAGAGCTACCGTCCCCCGGGCATCTGACGCAGCAGGAGCAGCAGCCGGTTGTTGTCAGGACGTGTGCGCCGGTGTGTCGGTGGAGTGCGTGTGAGGACGGCCCACACGGGTGCTGGTTGGGGGCCCGACGACTCTGGGCTGGGTTCGAGGGGGCGCCGGGCCCCTCAGCGCAGTCTGTCTTGCTGGGGAGCAGCGTTTGCAGGCCTCGGGGGTTTGTCCCAAAGAACATAAAGCAGAGGGACCCGGCCCGGCCTGGGTTACAGACAGGGCCAGGGCCAAGGCCAAGTCCTGCCCATCAGCGAAACGGTGGCCCAGCCACAGGCTCACATCACCTGTCACACGTCGGCAGCTGTGATTTCTGGGGTGTTCCCCACAAAGCTCTTCCAGAAGAGACAAACATGAGGGAAGCCACACTCTGGTCGCTCCCCTGGCCAGGCCGGGGACCCGCGGGAGCCAGCCGGGCGTCCCCTTAGAAGGACTCATCCTACTCCAGTCCCGGGAGACTCAACAGGCACAACTGGTCACACTGAGAAAGACGCTGAGGGAGCTGGGAAAATTCTCGGTGGCTTACGGATGGGAGAAGACAAATCAATCTGAAGTTTTAAAAACCCCGCGGTGACCAATCCCAGGCTATTTCTCTGCTCCTCGCCCACCTGTTTCGGGTCCAGTCACGGGGACAGCCTGCTTCCGGTGCTCGCACGCAGCCCCCGGCCGCCCCTCAGGCCCCCCTGGGCCGTGCCACGTGGGGCAGAGAACGGCCCCGCAGCTCTGATTCTAAATTCCGAGGCTCCCGAGAGCAGTCGGAGGCCTGAGTCACCTGCTGGGCGCCTGGTCCGCCACCACGGCAGGCACCTGAGGCCTCAGGTGATGGAAGGTCCGAAAGGCTCCCCTCTCGTCCTGAACACGGACAACTGGGAAAAACCCACCTCGGTCACCTTTGTGGCAGAAGCCAGTGAAAACTGACGTTTGACGCACAGGCCTCGGAGTAGTCGATTGCAAACTAGAGGGAATCGGCTGTCTGCGTACCTGGCAGAAGTGAGGGCCTCGGTGCGGGGTCCCAGTGGACCACAGAGCCATCTGGTCAGGCTCTTTTCGTGGGCGAAAGGTTTCCGTGCCCCGGGCGTGGAACAGAGGGCGAGGCAGGGAGGGGACAGTGGGGGCTGGTGGCCTTTGCACTGTGGGCCCTGGAATCCCAGCCCGGAGCTCACTGGCCAGGCCGCAGGGCTGGCTCCAGAAGGGGAAGAGGTTTGTTCTCATTTCCACCGAAATGGAAACAAATGTTTTCGTTTACCCTGGAAACTGTGCACTGTGTAATTACCCAACACAATGGTGTCCTTGTTGCTGAAAGGGAACCGTTTCGTCCTTTCCCCTTGGTTTGACCTCTTTCTCTCACACATGTGCACACAGCCCCCGCTTTCCCCCTTGGCCTGGGGACCTGCACTCACAGCAGGGCCCTTAAACTCTCTCTGGTGAAGCTTGGTTTCTTTGTTTTTTAAATTCTCCAAACCCTTGCAAAACAATACCTTCATAGGATACAATAAACCCACGGGGCTGTGCCAGTATTTGGCAGTGACGCCCCACAGCAGCCTCCCTGCTGGTCGGGGAAGCGGTGCCGAAGTGGCCTCGACACTTTGTTCTGATGACACACAGGCTGGCAGACCGCTGTCAGATGCGTGGGCGGGACCCGGGGTGGGGAGACTGTCCTGGGGGTTCAGCAGGCACGGGCGGCGCGGCTTTGAGTTGCATTCGAAGTAAAGCAAGTAGAGCTTAATTCGCCTCCAGTGCCCCTTCCGAGTCCACTGTCCCCTGTTAACCTGACACCTTGTCATCAACATTACCTTGTGATGAAACTGTCCAGAGAGTGACAGCAGACAAGCAGGAGCTGCACAGAAATTGGAGGCAGCTTGGCCCCGGGCTGCTGTCCTGGAGACACCTGGGCGCATGGGTCCCTGGAGGCCTGGGGCATCTTTCCCACACTGAGGGCCAGGGGACTCCGACCCCCTCCTGGGGCCCGGGAACCCACCGGTGGTCCTGCAGCCTTGCTCTGTCCCGACCTCTGGCTGCCAGTCTTAACGGAGCAAGTGCCATTTGTTGGGAGGTGGCCCATCTGACGGCTTCTTGTTCCCTGCCTGTCGTAGTCCAGAGTGAAGCGCCCCTTGCCTGTGTCCGGGACAGACCACCTGTCTATTTCTATTTCTGAGGTGGGCACACCTGTGGGTGCTCAAAAAGGTTTCTGTCCCCGAGCAGACCTAGCTAGCCCACCGGTGGGGACCAGGGCCACCACCTCACCTTCCTAAGGCCACATCTTCCCTTTGAGGGGAGCGCCAGAGTGCCACTGGGCCCCGTCACTGACGGGCTCAGAGAGTCCGCTGGCCTGCTGCTGGCAGCCGGGGAGTCCTGGGCCCTGGTTCTTCAGACGCTCAGTGGTCCATACCCTCGTCCTCTGCTCTGGATTCCCTTTTTATTTTACTCTCCTAACCCCCTTGGAAGGCAGGAGCAGAGACTGGGGGCCGCAGCTTAAGGAGCTGTGTAGTTCTGCGGGGGCCACTAAATTCTCCAGATTCCTTCTTTTAGTCGATGCCTCTGCCCACCGTGAAAACTCCCGCTTCATTCTTCTCCAGCTGCAGTCTTCATCTCGCTGTTTTCTATGAAAACACGCAGCTGAATCCCTTGCAGGGTGAGCAATCCCCACAGGGATTCCGACACAGAGGCCAGCGGAGGGGCCCCTGGAGCTGGAAGGGAGGGGACTCTGGAGGCACCACCGCAAGGCATGACCTCTGTATGGTGGGCGGTGGCCAAGGGGTCCTGGGTGCACGGGAATGGCACGGGATCGGCCACGCCTGTAGCAGCTGAGAGTCTGATGGGGCCCCAGGGCCTCTTCCGCCTCCTGGAGTGTTTGGTCGTGGGCTTCAGTTCCAGGAAAGCAGACCAGGAGCTCTAAGAGCAATCGGATTTACTGAGCTCTGCCAACGGTTGTTTTGTGGAACTCTGCCCCCCGGGCGCCGGGCCGCACGCCCACCTGGTTCTCAGACGGCCGTTTCTGCAGCCACACCCGACGGAGGAAAGCACAGAATGAAGTGGTTTGTCTCCACGGGCGTGTTGCATCACGTGGAGGGTACTTTGAAGGAGACTGGAGTTTAAACATGTGGAAAGGAATACACAACTTTTTATAAATAAATTCCAGTTCGTTGGGTCTCCTTCATATTACAATATGATCAGCACGGCATTAGCTGACACCTCTCTGCCGTGATGTGATTATTTCTTTTCTGTGGCAGGAATGATTAAGATTCTGTCTCTTGGCACAGAATTCACTTTTTGTTAAAGGAAAAACCACATCTGTTTGTGTGTGTGTGTGTACATACGTACAAAAACGTGTGTGTGAATCTCTGAGACTTACACACAAAAGTGCTGCTTGTGATTCTCTCTGAGGGGCATTTGCTTCATAAATCCTATTCTTCAGCCTTGTATATTTGGGATTTTTTTTTGTAATAATCATTTTGGTCATGGAAAATTAATAATAATATATATTTTTAAAAGTCACTGTTTTTAAAGTCTTCCAAGAGTGAGTTTGTAGAGTTTCCCAGGGCAACTTATTTTGAACTATTACATTTAATATGATTACGGGCCAAGGCCTTGGGAAAAAAATACGAGTCTATAAAAATCCAGGTTATTTTTGCTCAGACCCTCAGCGCAGAACACGTCCGTGAGTTGGAAGGCTGAGCAGCGCCGTCCCCCACTCGAACCCACGCTCCCAGCCTGCGAGCCACCTCGGAGGCACCCCAACATTCGCTCCTGTGTCAGGGGCGGGCCTCATGTTCCCCAGAACTTGGAACTCACCTCCGAGCCTCCAACACTCACGAAGGGGGCGATACTCATTCTGAGAGAAAGTTACATTATTTGAACCCACTGCTCCTGTTTGAAATGGTTTGCGATTCAAGGCCCTATTTACTCAAATACAGGGCTTACCATTGTGAGCCCGCGAACAGCAGAGTTTATTCCTGCATTGTTATTGATTAATTATTGTATCCTTATTATTACTGACCCACCTTTGCCCACCCCTGTTTGCTGACCACATGGAATTGGACTTCACTTCTGATATTGCCTTTTAAAAAATGTTTTGCAGTTTTCTGAAGACATTTTGTCACTTTTTAAAATATTTTATTCATTTATCCTTAGAGAAAAGGGAGGGGGGGGAGACAGAGGGAGAGAAACATCGATTGCTTGCCTCTCAGAGGCATCCTGACCGGAGACCAAAACGCGACCCAGGCCTGTGCCCTGACGGGGGGGCGTCAAACCAGTGACCTTCCATGTTGCCGGACGACGCCTGACGTGCTGGGCTGCACCGGTCAGGGCATATTTATTTTCTAATGACAAGTGGCCTGTATGCCTAACTATAAATGGAGTTGAATGGCATGTCCTTGATCCATGGAGGACACCGGAGTCCTGAAGCGTCGTTCTCTTTGGACCTGAAGATGCCGGTAGAAGGAGCAGATGTGGCGGCTGAAGGAAGCAGGTCTGTGAGACGTGGGATGGAAGTCCCCCCATAGTGGCTTTGGGGTCCCTGAGACTTTGCCTTGCTTTGGTTTGGGTTTCAATCATCCTGCCGGAGGTTACTTGAGAAGACGGATTGCCTCCGAGGCATGAACCAAGGCTGTGTGCGTCTGGGCGCTCCTGTCTGGGGCCTTCCTGGGCGAGGA